TCGCACCAGTCGTCAATCAACTGTTCATACTCAAACCACGAGGTGGTGCCATCATAGGCAGGCGCGATCTTGGGCGTTATGCCTAATGATGCAAGCATGCGGTCAGATGTTGCATATGACTGTGCGACATAAGTGGCTGGACCTTGGGAGGTCTCTTCGTTCTCATATCCCCCGGAGGATTGGGAACTGCCGTCGGCTTCGCTATGCGAGCTCGACATTGTGCTGCCTCTTATCCGCTTGGTTAAGCGTTCGGCGAGGCCGACCGCTGTAGCGGACTTTGGGAGGCGGGCGGCCCTTTCCGGGCTCCGCTACCAGAAAACTGAGCCGATACACCCACAAGGAAATGCTCCTTGTTAGGAGGTGTATGACCAGTTTATTCCCTAAGGATCAAAGGGCAGCGCCCTGCACACGGACAGTAGTTGTTTTGTCTTGCTACGCAAGGAGAGCTTGTCTTGTCTCAATATGGTAAAACCACTGTGAGCCAATGGGCAGCGGAATGTATATGTATGAGCATGCAGCCATTGCTGTAGGTACCTGTTAGAGCTACCCCTTTAGAGGTTTACGGAATCACCCCCTCCTCCCCCCCCCCTCCCCCCCTCCCCCTGCCCCCCTCTCCCCCCTGCCCGCCTCCCCTCCCCCCCTCCCCCTTCCGCCCCCTTTCCCCCCCTTCCTCTTCAACCTTGGCATCTCCGCTCCAAAGTGCTCCTTGTTCCTACTTCGCGTGATCGTCGCGCAGCCTCGCCGCCTCTTCCCCCCGTTGTGTCTCACAATCTCTTAGAAGCGCACCAGCTTAACCCTGACCCCCAAACCCCAAACCCGAAGACCCTACTATAGGGGCCTTGATGACTAGGATAAGGTTTTGGTGGGGGTATATTACACTATACTTATCATAAGGAACCCCCACACTACTTTAGGAAACTATGGAGGCCCCTACATTAAATCCCAAGAGGGTCCTGAACCGTGGCAGACGGAGGCGCCCGGAGCCGATCCTACATGATCCTACCACAATTAAAAGGTCAAGATGTTCCTGAAACCCTAACCCTAAACGGTTCTAAAGGTGTTGAACATAGGGTTTCGGGACGGTTTAGGTTTCGGGTTTAGGTCCTGCGGTAAGGCTTTGTTTGCACTTCCCATCTTGGCGTCTCCTTCGAGAACTAAACCTACGGGCCTCGCGGACACCAAACGACTTTGCCTGTACAAGTGCATTCGGCTTCTGGTCTGTCGCCCACGGGGTCGGCGGCTTGAGCCGGAGGCTCTTAAATCGGGCAGCGCTTCGCTGCCCTGTATGGACTGAGCTATGGCTCAGACGAATGAGCTTCGTCTGCGAAGCAGAAGCCACGACCGACAGTGCCGCCGACCCGCCCCGGACCCCGCATCATCGGACCCTCGCTTCTCCCTCGGGCCGCGCGGGGCCTGGCCCGAAGGCGTCTCGGAACGCGCACGCGTTCTGCAGCCATTCCCCACGGTGTGGCGGGTTTCGGGGCCGCCGTGGACGACCCCAGGAGGCGAGCCGGCCAGCATCATGAGCCCTCGGGCGCCCGCAACCGGCGCCGGCGGCGCGACGTGGGCGCGAAGTCATAACTCCCAAGTTTTTGAGTGGGTTGCGGAAGCCGCCAAAGGGCGCGCATCATGAGCATCAGCTGGGTCCGGCGGACGGGGGGTGCGGGCTACATGCAGGGCCGACGGCGGCTGAGAGCCTACGATCACCCACAAGTTGAGCACTTCGGGCCTACGTTGCACTTATCTATATACCGCGGGTTTCTGACAACAGCTCGCGCTGCCCGCACCTGGGCGCAGCCCCTAAATAAAAACAACATACATCTATGTATGCATATATATGTATGTATATACATGTGTGTGTACATGCTTATTCAAAAATGCACCGGAGCAAATCTCATGTTCAAGTATAAGTGCGTACATGTGTACACAGAAACATATCCTACGTATCCACGTGTATCAATATCAATGCCAAACCAAAAACACCATCATATGGTTCATTATATGGATGACTTATACATGTACGCGTTGGCAGCAGTTGAACAAGCATACATACATACATACATATGTATATATATATATATATACATGCACAATACATATATGCACGTGCAGATGTCAAACGTACATACACAGATATAGTTATCTACTTATGCACTTATTCATTTCCCAACGTATTGGTTATTGCTTTGCTTACTCATTTACATAGGATGAGGGTTGTAACAGGAAACGAACAGGACTTGAAACGAACCGGGGGGACATGTAACTGAAACTGGGCTGGGGCTATGTTAATTGTAACCAGTCGGAGTTGTAACGGAGGCAGCCGGACGACGAAACCGTTACCGAGTTTTGCGTTGCGACTTTAAGTTACAGCCCATACTCTCAGAGAACCCTTCAAGACCCCTGTTACGAACCTTCTCCGCTGCTGCTACAGGCCTCCCCACAGATCCTGTTACAGCAGGCCCTTGTTTCTGAAACAGTTTCGAGCCAGTTCCCCAGCTGTGTATTTGCAAGTTCGACGGACATACATACATACTTACTTACTTGCATGCATGTGGATACACACACATATACATGTATATATATATATATATACACACTGCAGATACATACATGATTGCATGACACTTTGGACGTGTATAGATAAATGCGTTTATTCATGCACAAATGTATGGCGGTAGCGTAAAGTCTGGGCAACCTGGCCAATCAGAAGCACCGCCTGCCCTTTCTCCAGCGGCGGATCGGGAGCGGCCTGAGTGGCTTAGGAATAATTTCGAGTTTTGAGTGTATGGCTTTAAGGCTTCAGGATTTGGGGTTTCGGGCCTCACGAAGTGCATGCCCAATAGGCAAGGATCCAGAACACAAGAAGCTGCAGCATGTCAAGAGAGAGTGACGACAGTAACGACCTGGAAGATTCTGGCTTGTTTTGCAACACCGCTTCCTGAGACACCAGCGACTGGTGCCGGGAAGTGTATCTCAGGTATAATCCTGAATCCAGACGGACTGTGTAGATGTCTCGTCCAAGCAACACTCTGGCTTTCTGGCCGCATTGCTCCGGAACTTAAGGCGAGCATCGGCACAAATACCATGACCACAGCCACAGACTGAGAATAGATGCGCCTTCAATCCCTCTACTGCGGCCTCGTTTGTCCTGACTTTCTGGATTCCTTCTCAGGGTTCAGTCGTCTGGCTATGTTCGCCTGCGTTTTGTGCTACTGTACAACGCTCTGCAGCCGCACGAGACGGGGCAAAGTAGGACTGAAGCACGCAGCTCACCGGCTGCACAACCGCCCACAGTTTCAGTGCTGCCAGGAAACGGATCCGGAAAAGACATCCGAGGCGGTGGAGACTGCAGCGCAGGCGAAAAGGAGATGCCATGTGGCCGAAGCCGAAGCATTCCACGCCTCTCGAGCCTTGCTTCGCTTCTTTGGAGAGTCCTGGCTGAGATATCGTCGTGCAGATTGCTCAGGCCACGAGCAGAAACCCTGAAACGCTCTGCCCCCCGGCCCTCCCCCTTCCCAAAGAAAACATGAAACGCTGCCCTATGCCTCCCTAGTCTTCGGGCCGGTAGGTGTGACACCCAACTTGCCCGCCACGAGCTTGTGCCTCGAAGGGCCGGCTTCCGGCGTTGTGACTATGACTTTATGGGTCTGTCTGTCTGTCTACCTACCTCCCCCCTCCTATCTACCTGGCCACCTATCTATCTGTCTGCCCGAAAGCATGCTCGCTGGTACACAGCTAGCGGCATAATATGTGCATGTATGGGCGCCTCCCTACTTCCCCTGCAATTTTGCATGTTGCCGACTGCACCCATGGAACAGATTGCTAAATTCGTATGGTAGCTGAAAAGTCAAGCAGAGGGAACGCAGATGATATACATATGTGCATATATATATATATATATACACAGACAGACAGACAGACAGACAGACAGACAGATAGATAGATAGATAGATAGATAGGTATATAGATATATGTATGTGTGTATGTCCTTTTAAAACTACTATACATACATACATATATATATATATGCATATATATATGTATATATATGTACTGTGTGTGTATGTATGTCGTTATGTGTATGTGTATATATATATATATGTGTGTGTATACACGTATGCCTAGGTAAAAAAATATGTGTGTGTATATACATATATACAGACATGTAAACACAGGCAATATAGTATGATGAACTACAACAGAATGCAGTACAACCGAACCTAGAACAATACATTTTGTACGAAATAATATGAATGAAATGTTATACAATATATCATGAAAACCCAAAGAGATGAATAGAATATAATGGAATGCAATACAATGCAATATAACTCAACAATATACCGTATACTATGGTAGAATATGTTATAACACAATTTCATGTGATATCTCTGCATTTACACATCTAGAAATGTATGTACATACATATATATGTATGTATGTATATACATATATATATATATATATATACCTGTATGTGTGTATATACACCTAAACATACTTGTATGTGTACATATATATATATATACACACACATATAGGCACACAATCTGTATACATAAGAGTACAATATGTATGTATGTATATATATATACATACATACATATATATATATATATATATACACATACATACATGTGTATATATATACCTACTTATATATGTTATATACCTTGAGATGTTTGCATACCAATTCACTCTAAGGCTTTATGATGTGCTGTTGCTTTACCGATCGAACTTTTACTGCCCTGTACTATGTAGCTTGTGTAATCCATGGCTCGCTGGAGCTGCTGCGCCAAAAAAACTCCACAAGCAGCGCAAGCAGGAAACCGAGGAAGCCGGCATGTCTGATGTGTCAGGGTCAAACTTGAGGTGCTGCGCCTCACTTTTCCGATAATCAGACAATGCTTCCCAAACTGCGCATCTGCTGACGAGCGGTTGAAAGGCTTCACTCGGACCGCTTGCAAATCACCTGCACTCGTGCCCTCGTTTTGGGAGGACTACTCAAGCGAAGACAAAGAGACGAACCAGAATCCTGCCTCCGTCAAGTCCCGGTACGCCTTCTTCCAGTGTCCGAGACGACCTCTCAGCGGCACCGTTTCGTGAGGAGCCCTGCTGCGTTCGCTTCTCTGGTGTGCACGAAACCCTCTATGCATGTTGTACATACAAATTATACATATATATATATACATATATACACATACATATGGTGCCGTGTCGCCACGTCCCAGTGGAATGCTTCCGGGCGTCACACGATGCGCCATACCGCGAAGGCGGTATGCCTCAGGAGGACATATGAAAGCATCTCCAAGAGGTGAAAGAACCGCAAATGAACATGCTCCTGCGTGGAGACGACCCTGCTTGACGTATACCCAGCCTTCACCATGTGGTTGTTGATTTTCAATGCTGCAGTGCCTCAGCGGAGAACAGTCACCATGTTCTCAGTTAGTCAAAGTCTCCCTCAGGGTTCCTCTCCGCAAGTTGATATTGCAGTCTGATGACGTGATACAACGTTGCAGCTCAAGTCGTTGAAGCTGTACATGCACGTTAGTCTCCATTGAAGGCCCTTGAAAACAGAAACGAATCGACGGGCTTCGGGAAGATGATCCAGGAGGCCCTAAACCCTCAACCCCTAAAACTGACTGAAGCCCTAAGCCCCACAAACCCTTTGCCCATCTTCCTAAACCTTTATCCTAGTGAGGCCCTACACTCCTACACACGAAATAAACCTGAATAAAAATAACTTGCAAACCTTTTCTAAAGGTAGTACCAAGATCGTAGATTCATAAAATTTCCTTAGATATTGCACTGCTACACCATGACAGACCGACACGGGTTCCCCCGCAGTCCCGGATCGCTGCACAGGGCCGCTTCATCTTCAGCAAGAGTGCTGAGCCTCGGAGCAGAAACAGAAAGGGAGAGGAGAAAACAACAAGTGTGAGCCTTCAAAAATAGAATTGCATTCAGGAAGTAGTAAGGTAGTTTAGATTACTTCTGAGAAAGGGGTCACCTTGCGTTCTTTGTTGAACCCTCTTTTCCTTCTGTCCATGTCTTACGAGTCGGAATGCCTTAAATTGAGGGTTCAGGGTTTAGGTCGATCGGAACTTAGGGGTCCTCTAAACCCTACATCTTGAACCCTTTCTACACGTCCTTAGAGAAAGGATGCTGCTGTTTCGGAGACTACAGGGATCAGAGGTGTCGGAGAGGTTGGGGCCCAGAGTTGCTTGCTGGAAGTTTGTTTGTTATTGCTCCAACGTCTTGGGATTAGGGTTTTGGAAGTTCGGAATTTCAGACTTCGGGGTCTTCGGGATTCAATACATGGTGGTCTACTTCTGTCCGGCTCGACTTACAAGCAACCCGATGAGTGACTACTAACTGCAACATGTGGATTGTACCCACAACTTGTCGGCCTCGCGCATGTGCTGCCGCATATGCAGACTCGGAGCAGATTCGAAGGCTTCCCAACAAGGTGCTTCTCCACTCGTGTTTGCGTCCACCACGTCAAGAAGAAAGGGTCAAGTTGCTAGAACCAGTGCAGACGTTAACAAACAGCTCGATCTGTGGAGACTTGGAAACACATGTCGGTCCTGGTTTAGGCCACCGGCGGGTGCAGAGCATCTGCGGGTTGGAGCCACCACTTCGCATGGCCTCTTAGCGGTGCCGTCTTTCGCCGGTGCAAAAAAAACAATCAGCGCGGAGGTAAACGATCAATTTACACCAGCAGCAAACACCGGAGCAAGCAAAACAGCTTCGGATAGCCTCAGCCTAAGCCGAGCAATCGCTGAGTCTTCGCATTTGTGGTCTCTTGATGCGGAACCTCCGTGTAGACGTTGATGGCGCCGGTGAAGTCTCCGGCCTGCATGGCCACAGCCTGCGCGCAGGCGCGAGCAAGAGGTGCCTGCTCTGTCAATTCAGATCGGTTCTGATTCTGATACTTGTTTATGAAGTCCATGATGTGAGTCTCTGTGTCTCAGCTGCGGCTTCCACTGTGTTCCGGCGGCAGAGGCCCAGCCAGGGCTCCGGCGGCGGCTTTCTCCGCGTCGTGGCGCGCCTGCGCGCTGGTGTTGGCCTAAGTCAGCAAGGCAAAAGTTGAGGCTGAGGCCCCTCAAGACTTGGGGATGGCTTCAGGGTTTGTAGAGAAGAAGGCTTCTCAGTCCCAGACCGGTGGGAAAAGCTGAGGCCAGGCCTCAGACTCCTGGCCCGGATTCAGAACCCAGGTGCTCAGCTCTCTTGCCAGGACACTCCGGTGCTCCTTCGGCAAGCGCTCGGTGTCATCGAGGTCATCTGGCTTCACCTCCTGGCAGAAAAAACGAATCCTCCAAGCATCCCTGCGTGAAACCTGAGAGCAGAAGAACAGTGGCAGAGCAGCAGCTGCTGGGCTGGGCCCTTTCTTTCTCGACATGTCGTGAGACGCCGAGCTTCAGACTGAGTCTGTTGCCCACGTTTTTAAAACTGTCTACAACAGTCAATCTGCATCTTGGAGCTCAGGGTTCAGAGCTTTAGGCTTTAGGGCGTAGGAGGATTATGGGTCACTGTACCGGAGTGCTGTGTCTGCATGCCATCCTTTACTTCGCAAAACCCCGGTGGTTCCTCGCTGCCTGCAGATTCTGAGGTGCAAGTTGGGGGAGAAAGCTGCAGCCAAACTGACTAAGCTGTCCTTCTCCATGGACCGCCTTCTCCCCCCACTCACAGCCAAGAACCAGTACGAAAGGGGGTGCAAAGCCTTTCGTTCTCGGCCTGGGGAAACACGAGACAATGGGAGGTCGAGGTTGTCTCAGAGGCCTCCTGCACTCCCTTGAAGTCTAAGCCCTGCAGGGTGAGGATACTCCTGTACCCTGCGAGCCGAAGGAGCTCTAGGAGAGTCCTTGGAAAAGCTCCCCGGGGCCTAAACAGCATTTCTCTGCCAAAGGGATCCCGAGCGCGATTCAAAATAAGAATGGACCCGCTGTCCATTCACACCAGAGCTTGGTTAGTAAAGAAACACATCCCAAAAAATCACGATGTCAAGAGTCGGTCTGCGGACGAAGACACGATGGTCACCAGGACTCCCACCAGGACGTAGGTGCTCTTCATGACCTCAACGCTTGGTGCAGCTTTCATTGGTGGTAGCAATAAGCTGCAGAAGACATAGTACCAGAAGAACAACGAAGTTCATGCTTGATGTGCCGGGCAAGGGACTGCTGCAGGCGTCACCCGTAAATCATTGATGAAAAAACCGATGTCGCAGCGTGACATGAAGGCCAAAAGGTCCTCAACAACGGGATAGGCTCGGATAGGCTGTCACAAGTAGCGAAATCACGGAGTCAAATTCCCGTGGCCTGTGACATCGAGTTGTCCCACTCGCTGACAAGCATTGAATTGGCCACTTGTGGCGACTGTTCGCACTGCCTCAGCTCGAGACTGACAGGGGCACACCTAAATCGATCGTCATTACGCGCAAGCTTCCATGAATTAGCACGCCATCTGCAACAGCATGATTCAACCGAGGGGCTGAGTCGTACTCGCCGCAGTTACCAGCGCATGAAACGGCATCAGCGACCTTGGGCTTGGAACTGTCGCGGGCAGCCTCGGGCCTTTGGCTTGGCACAGCGTTGCCTTGTTCCTTCTCTCTATGAACCAAGAATGCAGACATTTCGCGTTGCAAGAAAGGGCAGCAGGCTGAACAGCATGTCCACCATGTTGCCTTACTGCTTTCAGACTTGGGCTGGCTCTGTGGTCGTTGCTGAGCTTCAGAAGAGGGTCGAGCATGCTGCGGCGAAATTAGGTAGACTGCACAGATAACTTTGCAGAGACTTCTGGGGGGAGGGGGTTGGGAAACTGAATATTTCCCCCGAGTACAGGACCTGATAAGGTGCCAAACTAAGCAAGCCCCTCAGGCTCCCTATGATAACACATGCTCATCCTGATCTGCTTTGTTGGCCGTATTCCTCTTCGATTGGCTGCTCTTATTATCTCGAGCTTGATGCCTTCAGACGGAAGCATAAGCTATCCTCTTTAACCGTACTTTGACAATTTGGTATTTTTGCTACTTGGTAACACTCTTCCAATTCGTACCTCTTCTTCCTCCTTCTATCGTTATAGCTATCCGAATAAATACCACCATCATTAGTGTTCCGTTTCTTGTCATCGTGATTGTACTTAGTGCTGTGGGCACTACTGTACTTGTCATCAAAGCTACCTTCACTGACTACTCTGCTAGCGCAAATACTCCTCCTGCAACCAGCTCTTCTTCTTCTTCTTCTCCTTGCTGCCGCGTTTCATTAGGAGCGTAAGTCGTCGTCTTCTGATCTAGTTCGGGGTAACATGAAACAATCAGAATGCGGCAACGATTCTTGCTTCTAATTTTCGGAGACGGAAGCTTGCTTCTTGCCTGGTTCCTTCATCGATTTCATGGACGAGGCTTGTTTCTCTTAAGCCTGACTCTACTCTTCTGTTGATGTTGGTATGTCTAGAATCTCTTCTTCGTGCGTCCGCACACTGAATGTACAGGTATTTCCCCTCATCGTGCTTACTCCACGATTCTACCGCGTAGTGCGTTTTTCATCGTTGTACGTTTATGCACTCCCACTGCAGCAGGTTATCCAAGCCATTATGGAAAACCCGATCTCCTGTTCTTGCGGCGCTGCGTCCCCCAAACGCAGAGAGCCCATGTCACACGCGCAAAGAACAGAAGTTCAAGAGACGAGATGAAAATATATATACCAGTCCCAGCAACTATCGCTCCACAGTATCCGGAAGATGGTGCTGGCAGCCATAACCTGGATGGCACAACGATTTGCAGTGTGCCACGCCATCATGCTACTACTACGAAACTCCATTCGCAGCTGGCACACCAAGTCATGTCACTACCGGATGCAATGGTTCAATGGTTGCATCACCGTAGCAAGGCCGAGCAGCTGGAATCATACCAACTTGGAGAGCCAAGGAATACGAACATCCGTCACACAACGTTCTCACGAAGATTTGGATGGTGTTCCACTCCTGAGCCATGCCTGTCAAACGAGGCACTTGACCCCAAACCCCAAACCCTAAGACAACTTCTGAACCGGCTCCCACCTTCGAAAGAAACGTCCTCGCTGGACAACTCTTGCATGTATTGAATCCTCAGATGCCACACCGCATGCTTTGCATGTCTAAGTTGTCAGCAACAAGCATGCAGGCATCCAACGTTCCGTGTGGCGGTGATTTTGTGCTCTGGCTCATCTTGTGGCGACACGTTCGAAGCACGTAAACTGAGACTGTGCTGCAGGAGCACTGCTTATCAAACAGAGGCTCATGAGGAATATTGACATGGATGTCTTAGGACGCGTGCTGTACCTTCTTTAGGGGTCCTTATAACCCGGATCTGAATACTATGAAAGGTAGGGTCGCTTTCTGAAGGTCCCTCATCACGATGCTGAAGCCGCTCCCTCCCTGGACCGCGCCCTGCCGGAACGGCCCGAAAGGAAGGCTCTCCTTCGCCTGATGAGGAAGATGAGAGCGTGGGGAAGACGATTCTGACAACAGTTACAGAAACCTCGCAGACCGAAAACTCCAATAATCTGAATCTAAACTCTGAACATCATCCCAAGAGTCATGCTCGTTCGCATGGCGCTGCAGATGTGACCCACCCGCATGCAAAGCGCACAAATGATACCAGAAGCCAGAATATACGCAATCACACCTGTGCAGGGGGATGCAGGGGGCAAGTGTAGCGAGGAGTCTCAGAGAGTGACTAACTAGCCAGGACATGACACGAAGGCGGAGGTGCAGCAAACAGCTTCCAGAAAACGGCTGTGTTCAGAGCACATGGAAGCTGGACTGATGACAGACAGCGAAAGGCCTGTTGCGACCTGAGCTACTTGGTAGATGCTCCATGTTTGGAACAACCATCATCCGCAGTCAACACAGAGACATCCCAGCCAAGGAACCGTTTGCACACGCAGGTAGGATTCCACAGATCGGGTCTGGCAGGCAATCATATCACTGCTACCCAAGTCTCCCTATAACAGAACCATCTCTCGCGGATGGCTCTCTCTAGCCCGGCGTTCCGAGACAGCTTGCCATAGAAATAGCCCTGATGCAAGGAAAGAGCTGTTCATCTGTCCTCGTAGATCTTTGTGGTAACCCTGGAAAGCACGCAGCATATCCACAAAAGAAGCCTTAAAATTGCAGGCGCGCATGCGAAACTAAATCACAGTTCAGCATGTCAAAAAAAGGCAACTGCAGCTGAGCCTCAGGTGATTGCCGTGATCACGGGATATTACCAGCCAGGGTTGTGTGTATCCAAAGGCTACCTGGTGGTCACAATTCAGAAAGAGACAGCTAACGTCCTGCCGCCACTGTTCACTCTTTGCTGCGAAAGTCTGACGGACCAATTCCGGGAGGGCTTGCTGGCACCACCGAGTCACGAACTCTCGAGCCAGAACACTAAATTCACTAAAGCGCATGAGCACAGCAAGTTGCAGAGTGCGCTTGGAGGAGGCCGTCTTGCTCTCCTGTGCCAGCTCGGGTTCGCAGCGGAGCATATCAGCGCTTGCAATGCACAGCAAAAGAGACACAATCGGCGGCACCTGCAGATAGACAGTTCTCGGAAAGCTTGGAGCAGAAGTGGTGTATAAGCAAGCCAATGACAGCACCTGGGCATGCGGAGCATGTGACACATGACTGTCGGTACACGTGAAGCTGGGAATGTCACCCCTTGCCCCTATGCAGCACCACAAACACAACCGCTCTCCAGCACCGCACACAAAACCGCTCTCGGTGAGACAAGAGGAAAGGGGAAGCTCAAAAACTCCATCAAGGAAGGAACGACTGCCAGCCTGAGGAGCACACTTGCAACCACGGCCGCATCCAGCAGGTTTCTTGCGATGAAGACCTCGGAGCCCTCCCAGTAGAAGCTGAAGCTGAACGCAGCCTGAGCCGCTCGTGTATAGTCTGTAAGGTTGAGAGGATGTCAGCTTCGTCGCATCAGGAACACGTCAGAACTCGCAGCAAAGCATTCGTGTCAGATTGAACTCGTCTGGGTGCAAGAGTTAGAGAGGCGACAATGAGGCTGATGTACCTTGCCTGAGCTCAACAGGCGGTCTTCGAACAACTCGCAGGCGTTCATCGAACGTGGCGCCAGATGACAGAGCTCACGTGTTGCTACATCCAAAACGCGTTCAATGATTTCACGTAGCAGCGCAAGCAATACATGTCTGCATCTGTGCCGAGCTTCCTGTCTTGGCTTCGTCAGGGTCCGAAGCCCCACCAGTTGACGCAACCACCACAGGCCGCCACGAAAGGACATATTGTTTTTCGCCATCTTCACCTGAAGCACACACACACACACACACACTCGCACACACGCACACACACTGCATGCTCCAAGACATCTGACTATCTGGGGTGTATGTTCAACATTCTGGAAATGTATGGCAGCAATGGTTCCAGTCCCCTCGGCTCCAATAAAGCATCACAGTCTAACCACATCCTCATGAAGTGCCTCCTCGGCCATCTCCTCTCTCATTTGCGCGGCCAGAACTTTAGCTTGTCTGCGCCAAGCACCTGCAACACGGTGCTCGGATCCCCTCGCTGTAGGAAACTTTCACTCGAGAGGAAATGCATCTGAGACTAAGCGAATCTGTACCGCGAGACTAAGCGGACGCGTAGCGCGGGATGACAAAAAAGAAATCCTAACAACGTCCTCGTTGAGGTAAAATGACATAAGTTTAAGCTGGATGCTTGCCATCTTCAAGGGCCATCAGCAATGTGTTCTGCATCAAGACCGTGGCGGAAGGAACCATGATCCAAGAAACATGAACAGCCGTGCAGACACTGAAGGATCAGAGGCAAGTGGATTGCAGCCGTTTGATAAGGATGTTTCTATGAGTACTCTGAGGTAGAACCACAGCTGCAATACCATCACACCCAAAGAGCCTGACACCGAGTTCGGCAAAACCTGTACGGTCTTCCGTCCGGCTTGTGTGGTCGGAATGACGGTGTCGTGCCGACTGGTGAGGGTGCTTCTCCTCATGGGCAGAATGTCTGCCAGGTTCTCTGCCAAGTTCCTTAGCTAAGCTGCGGTTTAGGTACTTTGGGTTTGGGGTTTCGAGCCGGCCTCTCCATGGTGATCCCTCTCTTGATCTCTCTTGTCTGCCGGGCTGCTCCAAAGCCCCTCCTCCTGAAAAAACTTATCATGCTGAAAACCGTGAATGACAGTTCACGACGTGACGCACTACTACTTATAGCTGGTTGACGAAGGCCTCCGAGGTTGTGAATCTCACTCTCCAGCGGTGATTCGCGTAAAGTCATGGCAGCTTTTGCCAGCTTCCGCGCTCTTGCTGGGTCAAAGCCTGCCGGCCGCTACGCTTGGCAAATGCAGCTAAAGGTCTGCTCCACCTCACTGACTGAAGATGCCTTGCGCACCCACCCATATCTGACCCGAAACCTGATAGAGGCCACGAACCCGAATGCAGACACGCGTAACGCAGATATCGCATCCTGAGAAAAACAAACATCATGACAAAACATAATGACAAACATGACCTTGTATCATCAGCCGTGCCGGCGATGCAGTACACTCACGGGATCCATGTAATGTTTAATTTTTCGTGCATCTCGCGCAATCGTTGTGATACGATTCTCGTGCTGCCCTGATTCCTTCTCCGGGTATTTTCTTTAGGGGATGCGATATCTGCCGTCGGGACACGCGTTCGGTGGAGTTCCCCGTTCAGAAAGCCCTCGAGACGCTGCCGGAACACGCCTCCCGTGGAGTTCCCCCTTAGCTTGACGGATTCAGAACTCGCGCGACACGCGCCTTCTGTGGAGTTACCCATTAACAGCCTGTGGAATTCCCCTCTAGCTTGACGAATTCGGGACGCGCGTTCTGTGGAGTTCCCCATTAACAGCGCGAGCGTCCTGTGGAGTTGCCCCTAAGCTTGACGGATTCAAAACGCCGTTGGAACGCTGGACGCTGCCGGACCACGCCTCCTGTGGAGTTCCCCCTTAGCTTGACGGATTCAGAACGCAGTCGGGACGCGCGTTCGGTGGAGTTCCCCCTTAACAGCGCTGCGCGACACGCCTCGTGTCACACGCGGACGCTTGCGAACGCTTGCGGACGCTTGCGAACGCTTTGCGAACGCTTGCAAACGCTTTGCGAACGCTTTGCGGACGTTTTAACAACGATCGCTGGTCACCTGCTGGACCCCTGGACCCCAACCTTTAAAAGGGGAACCCTTCTGCGCAGCATTCGGAAAAATGTGTGATGCGGATTATCGAGCTCCAAGAAGCGATTCTCGCTCCGCTTGCTCGGCGTGCTGCATTTCCTCTGCAGCGACTGCTTCGTCACAATCTCTCACTGGCGGCGTGCAGATCTGCGCAACTGAGCTCGGTGCGAGGCACCCTTCTGAAGCCTGCGCATGCCGTCGTGTGCCATGAAATTGCATTTCTGCAATGTCGTTCCAACAATGAACACTGAACACTGCCGTTAGACAGTGTCTGTTTTGCCAGCCCTTCTCGTGCCTGCTGTTCACGTCTCTTTCGGAGAAGTCTGACTGGGAAAGGTCAGGGTTAATGTTCAAGTCGTACATGTTCAGGTCGGGATCGTGGCGCGAAGCACTGGAAACACCGCTTGCCTGCAAATTACAGCAAGCAGTTGGCCAACCCCGAACATGATAACCTTGGACATCGGTGAAGGCAGGCTGCCTCCTCGGGGCAACACTGGCTTTCTTCCTTGGCTGCGGATTCGCGGAAGCTAGCTGGGGAGTCTAGGGCATGGACCCTAAACCCTAAACTCCTGACCTCTACTACCACCCCAAAAGCCTTTCTTGGTTAGTGCTGAGCTACACTGATTGGATAGAACTCCGGGGGGCCCTTCGAGCTGCTTCGGTACAGACTCGCTCGGTGGCCGCCGACCACGCCTTCAAAGGGCTTTCGTTCCTAATTAAAGGTACAGGGTTTAGGGAGTAAGGGGTGTGTGCCTCCGATAGCCTGTTTCCGAAGCAGTGCACCGAAGAGCCTAGGGAACGCTGAGGACGCCGATTACAAATAGATACCGGCTCCTCAAAGTCTTGCTGACTTTGCGCTACCTCCCTGAGCCTGCGTGCCTTACCTTCCTTTCCCTCCCTGATGGAATGTAAAGATGCATGTCCTCCACTCTCGGGGATCACTGGGGGTCAATCTGCAAGAAATGGCGGAAAGCGCAGACACAGCATTTGCCCAAGTTTTTGGGTGTTGGTGGCTTTTACTTGTTGCCGGACATTCGGCGTGCCAACGCTGGGTTCGTGGTACCCAGCAGCTGTGCCGGAGTGGGAGGGTTTGACAGTGCATGGGCTGAAAGCACAGTTTAGAACCACGAACTAGGACTCGACCACTCGTGGAAACGTCCCCCTGGCCTAGAGTGCCTGCCGTCCATCTTGGACTAGGCAGGTGCTCTGCAAGCGGAGGTGCGACCTCAGAGAGCCGTGTGCCACCCACCCGCCGTATCAGAAACACAGGACGTAGCGAAGTCATCCGTGAAGTCATGATGTGTAGAATGAAAGCAAAAACTTCCTGGTAATGCAGAAATTGCCAGACTGATGAGAGGAGCTGCGGCAGCTCTGCAACGTAAGAGCCAGAACCCGCCAACAACCCCATCACATGAAATCTCGGAAGCGACTCCACTGCGAGACACCCAGTTGAAGGAGGTAGGCATCAGGCAGTTGGCTCAGTGCCGTTGGCAACGAGCGCTCGCATCCTCGGTTTGATAACTCGATTACCGGGCCCTCAGCAAGAAACCCAAGGCAGCTTCATGGAATGGGGAGGCTTTGAAGCGATGCCGATTCCTTGGAGGGAACATGCCAAGGGTCTTGTCCAGCTGCAGCTTGACCTTGCACTTTCAACCTCACCTCTCATCTTGCAGAACAGAAGCCCCCCCGCCTGCGCGATGAGTGCATCCGCAATGTTGTCTGCGAGCAATGAAACGGAGCTTTCGTCCTGGAGGAGTCCTGAATACTGAGACGTGTCAAGAGCAAGAAGCGAGGCACCAAACTCAATCGCCGCTCCAACGGCTGCACAGCCAGGAGTCGGTGAGGCTCTTCTGTTTTCGGCACGTGCGGATGCAACATCTGAGGAGGACCTGGGATCCGACTGCTGTGGACGAGCCAGGAAACTCGCAGCGCCGAATACGCTGTGCGGTTCTGATGTCACGTCCAATGTGCGGACGTCAAACTTCCGCGGAGCAAACGTTGGGGCGGTGTGTCAGGATTCTAGAGACTCTCGACATTGTGACGAGCCTTAACCATCAGCGGAGAAGTCGAGAAGAAAGACAAGAATCTACAAAGCAGGCGATTCTACGGTGCATCCTCTGGACTGTGCCCCTATCAACATATGCATGGCCGAAGCCACCTCGCGGGGGCAGCACCATTTAATCCAAGCCGGGCCCCCCGTGGGGGCCCCTACGCGAAACGACAGATGCTTCTGAGCCAGATATCGGCTGCAGTCGAAGGTCTGCCAAAGTGCAACGGTGCAAACTTCTGACAGCTCCTGGGCCCCGAAACCAGAGCAAGCAAGCACTTCGCCACTTGGCACTTGGCCTCATCCTTCAGCTCATCCCGCACGTCCACGGTGAAGGTGGGCTGTGACACCTCAGCCGGGCAGCCTTCGGCCTTCGATCTGTTTGGAGCCAGAGTAGCCCCCAAGGCCCCCAACAAACTCGATGTCGGAGTCGATCTCTTCGACCTGGAAAACACCCACAATGTCCCGAATCACTTGAAGCACATGCTCTTTCCCAGCTCGGGGCATCTTTGGCACCCGCCGGGGGTGCGTCCACCTTCCAGGTGAGAGCTGGAATCTTGGCGAAATCTCAACTACTGTGCAAGCGGTGGAACAGTGCAGGGCCTGGTTGGTCATGGCCCCCAGCCAGCGCGAAGGGTGCGCCCTACCCTTGCTATTTATTTGAGTCTTCTGCTTCTTGCTGGGTGTTCAGGTGTCTGCAACATGAGGGCTGCGATCTGCCTTCTATCCGATTCACAGCTTAGCCGATTCGTTGCGCTCTGGGTTCGGCATGGACGTGCATGTTTTGGACAGTTTCTACTCTGTGGACAGACTTTGCAAGTGGCTTTTTCAGCATGTGCTCTACTCTCTTCGAGCCACCCAGAAACGAAATCATCACTCCCACCAGCGCCCACGAGAGCGAGAACGGAGAGATCAAACCGATTTGAACATGAACAAAGATTGCAAATACAGGACCTGATCATACCCTCAATGCCAGGGATGGCAGCTCTGCTTTCAATCTCATTGGCACTGCGACACAACAAGTATTGTTTCGTCGATTGGATGGGACTTGAGCGACTTGGGACTGTGCGAAGACGTCGATTTCCGAGATCCTCGCTGGTGAAACTGGCCCATGGCATGGAGCATCCCCGCACCCACATCCCTAGAAGGAAGCTCTCATCATCTATGGATTACCAGCGTGGGATTCTGTGCTCAGACGAGTCTTCCATTTCTCTCACGATCCGGTGGAGCGAGTCGAGGATCCCTGGCGCAGGCGAACAAGCCTCAGACGGAAGGTTGGACAAGAAGCGGAAGTCTGCCTCTGCCTTGATGTGAAAAGTTTCAGGCCCAGAAACAGCGCCTCCACCCTTTCAGAGAGCTGCCTTCGGAGTTCGGCGATGCCCGGCGCTTCGGCAGTCTCCGCAGACGCCAGCGACGTCAAGGGAATGGCCGCGACCTCAGAGGCCTCCATGCCATCCTCCCGTGGCCTCAGAGCTCTTGGAGGGTTTTGCGTGGAAAGAGGTCCTCATTTTGGGGGATTCCGTGAAGTTTAGGGCGAATCTGCTCTGAGCTGCTCGGCTTTGGAACCACTTAGTTTCCCAAGCTCTCCCTTAAAGAAGGACAGCTCGTGGTCAGAGAAGCCGGGCTTTGAGAGCTCCTCTGTGATCAGCCGCATCACATCGTCCTTTGCCTCGTGGACCTGAGTTTCCGACCAACTGAGGCCTTCAAGCCCAACTTCGCACGGGCCAGCTAGCTTGGAAATGACACCGGAGATCCCGCTTGATACAATGACTAGCACAACACCTGCACCTGGGCTGATTAAACCTGGAATGCAGAACAAGAACGGCGCAGATCTCTTACTAAAGAACAACACCCAACGTCTGGTGATGCTCGTCATGCATCCAAATCAGTCATACTGCCGTGATGTTAAATTCTTGGAGCCGCACAGCGTCACCCTGCTGCCTTCACATCAGAATACAGCATTCCGAACTTCTCTTAAGCTCACAACAGTTGCCACACTTCGAGTCCAGCCGCAAGCTCGCGTGCGGAAGAGGCATGTGCCACTGGCAGCTGCTCTTCCCAGCTGCCCAGTTCAACCACGAGGCGTGCAGCAGATGCCAAGAGGGCTTCCGCACCACGCCGCTGCCGGACGGTCACCAAGGTATATCCCAGCATCCTCCAACCATCCTGGCCTATGATGGAGTGATCCATCATCACCAGACACACAGCAACTTCGGCCAAGCCGAAAACATTAAAAATCTTCGGCTCTAACTGCAGCTGTACTCTCTGTATCCTCGAAGTGATGGCAAGACGAAGCATCGGCCCACACTGGCATTCTGCAGACACCATTTTGGAAGACACTGCTTGCTCTAGCTTGAGCCCTCGGTTGCGCACGGAACCGACGTCGATGCTGACCACATATGCGGCGCACTGGCCATAGCGCGGGCGTCCTGCCCAAATCTCCTGCTTCTTATCTTTGACTAGAGATCTCGGTAGCCTGCAGAGAAGCGCGACAATGCCGCTAGGTGCCGTGGTCAGCAGGCTGTGGCCACCACCAATTCCGGCGGCAGCAAAGTACTCGCCATCAATCAGCAGTACAGGGACATCCGAGCCATCTGAGCTTCTGTATACCTCCGCTTTAGCGACCCTTGCGACCCCGTTACTGAGCCCACAACTACTGTAGGGCTTATAATGACAAGCCGAGCTGCGACAACGGTATCAGTGCGGGCTTTCTGGTGCCGAGCTTTGCTCTTCGTGTCCAGCTTGGCGATTTCTGCATCTGAGAGGAGGAAGGGTATTCCATCCACCAACACCAGGCAGCCTGGACTTGATTCACCTGGCAGCAACGTATCCAAGGAGAGAAAATGCGAATAAACACGTCATGGCACATCCGAGCTGCGACGGCGCTGGTGTCGCCCATGAACATGCACCTCTGAACCCCTTTGCTCCCTTAACGATCATCAAGTATCAGCAAGCAGCTGGTCGCTGCCATGTCGGCCACTACACGAAAAGCTCGATCTTGATGTTCCACAAGCGTGTACGGTGGACTCGTTAGAAAATGCCTTGATGCACAAGGTCAAGGGCAACTCGAGATCTGTAAGCTTACAGCAGCTGTGCATGACTTGCCCTAACTAGATTCGATCGCTAGCAGAGGTCTGAAAGGAACCTGGGGCTACACCGAATCGTTCATCGCAAGGCCAAGGATCCCCGGAGCTGCTTTGCGGCGACCACGACCACGTGCCACGTGCTTGTAGTAGATGGGTAGGGCCAATGCCTAGCGTGGAACCGGCACGAGATAGAGTACAGAACTCCGAAACACAGATGGATAGCCAAGAACAGCGGCAAGCTGAGAAATCCCTTTGCGACTTCGTCGGAGGTGCAACAAGCTCCCAGCATCTTGGCAAGCTCCGCAGAGGCTTGAAGGATCTGCTCAATGCCATGGCGACGGGCTTCAGGTCCACACCGTCCTGAGGTGTTCAGCCCTTCACGATGCTTGCCAGGGCAGACGGCACGACCCCGCAAGTGGGCATCATTCTCAAGATGAGCCACAACTAACCATGTCGACGCTTCCCGCGAAACGGAGGCGATGGACTGCTGGGTGGACGGCACGGATGCCTGTGGACGCTTCGGTGTGCTGGGCCCATCTGGGCCCATCTGGGCTCCGCTAGGCTCCGGCTTCTGACTCTCAGGGGCCTCGCGGAGCGGCTTCCGGATCTTTAAGGGGACCTTCTCGACGAAAAGCCGGCAGTCTACCACACCTCGAGGCTGAAAAGATCTCAGGCGGAGCTGCAAGATGCTGCAAGATGCAATCGCACTGAGGAAGCTTCTCCGGTCGAACTTCAGCGCGGTGGAGACGAGGCTGTGGGGGTTCGCTTCCCCGTCACAGTGCCCCATCACCTGCGAATCTCGACAGGTCACCACAGCCGGGGTCGAGGTGTCTTCCAACCCGGATCGAGCCTGTGAAGAGGCGAGGTTCTGAAGTGTAATCTCGCATCGATCCAGGACCTGCTGTGACGTCTGCAACAGAAGGGTTGTAGTTGTCCTGTTTCCGCAGCACACGTCTCAGGAACTTTCTACTCGATTCTCCTACAGCAAGGGGCTTGACTTTTTCCTGAACCGAACCTCTAAAATGTCCTCAACTCCCCAACTCCGAAGCACTGCAGCCCCGGGGGCCTGGCAGCCGGCTCCTGAAGTCCGAAGAACGAAGGCACATTGCGGCGAGGCGCCGTCAGGAAAGTCCGCCCTCACCTCTCAGCTTAGGATTTAGGGTTTAAGGCCGTTAGGGTTTAGGGTTTAGGTTGCTACGGCCTGCAGTTTAGGAGCAGGGTTTTGGGCCTAAACCTCAAGTGCTTTTCCAGCTACCTAGGTTCAGGCTTGGGTTTAGGGCTTACTGATTCGGCATGGTGCTGTGGAAGACCCAGTTGAATGGTCAATTCGCCAACCAATACCAAGGCACCCATTGTCTGCCCATGGAGGGACCCGACGATATGTACGTGCCTTCTCCAACCTCGCAGGCAGCTTCACAGACGACCCGAACCATGAACAGGAAATCCTATGAAGCTCGCAAGCATTACGGCAAGGGAGACGCACGTGACGAGACAAATGGCAGCACGATCGAGAACGACATAATCATGCACCCAAAATCTTCAACCCCAACCACCGATTCCCTTAAACCCGAAACAAGCAAGCCCTAAGCCCTCATCAACCCTTGCTAACAATCCTTCGAGGACGCCCTCGGGCCCCTCCCAGGACACCACCACATCCCCCAAGTCCTTCTACTTCCAGGATCCGACTAAACCAGTAAAGAGTCCAGAAACAAGCCCTTCTCGGATACGAAAGATCCGACTAGAATAGTCCTAAACCCTAAACCCTAAGTACAGAAACCTTATGAGGATAGGGAGCCTGTGAGCTGCAGACTCCAAGGAAGCATCCCGAGCGAGCCTTGGCTAAGAGAAGCACAGCTTTGAGACGCAAGATATGTATGCCACCATATGTATATCTCTATCTCTGTCTATACCGTCTATATCTATATCTCTATACCTAAATCTGCATCTATATCTACGTCTGTATCTTTATCTGTATCTATATCTATGTCCGGCTCGAGGCCTGGACTTGACCGCTGCATTTTGCCCTGTTCGAGCCTGAGGTGAACAAAAAAACGATGCCGTTTCCAAATATCACGGAAGAGAAAACACCGAAGACACCCACAAAAGCCATGCAAGCTTTCCGAACATTGAAGACACGCAACTCCATGACATTGCTCGGGCGTGCTGTTTGCCCCCATGGACCAGACTCGTGACTCGGCGGATAGCTATGTCATGTTTACGTTTCCAGCGTTGTGAGGTTTTTTGTCCTACTTAGAAATTTTATATACCTCTCAGAAAAAGAAATGCTCCCTTTCAAATGAGCTACAGCATGTGTAAATACATATACATGTTTCTATTTGCTTACCTATTTCAGAGTATATCTTTACATATGCTTCCATATACACAGTATTCGTATGTGTATATATATATGTGCGTATATACATATATATGCTTGTTTATAAATATGGTCGAATCGAACCAGGCAGCGAGAAGGCAGATCAAGTCTCCGTCTTTCAGTGGGCGGTTGTTAAAGGTCTTGGCATTAACCTGGCAGCCGCTTCGATCTTCATCGCAGTCACCAGCAATTCGTTCACTTCTGCTTGCTTCTTAAAACTGATTCTGACAACCTGCGCTACCCTAAACCCTAAACTGGCCCGAAACTCTGCACACTAACTAACACCAGGGCATCCCTAAGCCCTAAGCCCCTGAATGTGTGACCCAGGCGCCAGTTTCAGCGATTCTGGGGGCCACGAACCCGAATCGGCGGCAGATGGTGCCGAGCCGAGGTACGGGCACAGCTGGAACCTAGGATCCAACAGGGCTCAGCTCTTCGAAGTTGCAGGTCTTGGGATGTTCAGCGGCCAGTTGTTTACGAAGACTGTTGCGAAAAGACAACAATTTTCTCTGCATTCCAAGTCACTGCTGCTGCAACTGCCCGGGGCTGTCGAATCGGCATCGTACACGGGAGTTCTCAACGTCCATGTAGAAGCCACTGCCAGACCGGAGGAACCTGAAACTCCGGGGGTCCCTGAAACCTAGAAGCTCCTGAATTCGGGGGCATGTGTAACAAGGATCCTACTGTTTGGGGTCTCGACATAGTCCTACATTTTCGGAAACTCCCCTTCCTCTTTGGGAACACCTGGGCTTTTGATGTGCGTGCACTTACCCGTCCCAGTGGCACAAAGTCACCGAGCCGAACTCGCACATCTGCCACTGGCTCGCGGCTAGAAGACTTCAGGGGCAGGAACTTCTAAGCTCAGAAAACTCTTCCTCTGTCTAAGCCCTTGATGAAAGCTTCTGCTCTTCTTCGTGTCACCAGTTTGAGAGTTGCTACTGCTGCTTTCATTCTGCGGTAACACCATCAATGCAACTGCGATCACTATTCGCATCATGCGGAACTTATCACCTCGGAGGCATCAGGATTAGGGCCTGTACCCTAAACCCTAAAGTCACCCTTGACATCCTTCTCCCGGCGCTGCTTTGGCGCGCGGGCGCGCACGCACGGGCTGCTACGGGCACGCTCCATCAAGCGCCGCCATGTCCAAGCATCGGAGCAATTTCTCACAATGCCGCTCTAGGATGTAGGGTTCTGCAGGGTTAAGGGGTCAGGGGCTTTGGGGTCTAGGGGTTTAAGGTTTAGGCTGCAGGGCTTTGTAGAGCTTCGGTGTTCATCAATGGTCGGGGTTCAGATTTAAAGAAGCGTTGATGGCTGAGGCTAAGGGTTCGGGTGTAGCAAGTCTATTTCGGGTTTAGGGCGCGGGCTCTGGTGTCATAGCCGCAGGGTGCGAGCTGACTACCCCCTACTCCAAGCTACTTGGACCGGAGTTCAAGATAGATGCAAAATGTGGGAAGAAGCGGGCCCTTGGCTCCAAAGTCCATGGCGGAGTTATGCTGCCGTACGGCCTCTCACGGCTCGTATCTGCCTTCCATGACGCCGAAACCCAACTGAAACCGATCGCGAACCAAGTGGCCAGCAAGGTGTATGGCATGAGACACGTCACACATTTTCGGAGTGTTCTACTGTACAAGTCCCTATAAAGTATTTGCAGGTGCAGTACTTCAAAACTCGTCAACTAGAGCAATTCCTAACAACGGCAGGAGCAGGAAACAGGATTTGACATTGATTGGAAGTTACCCCCCCATGTAGCCACGCCACATTCAACAAGGCCGCAAAGATACACTTTTGGGGGATGCTGTCAGATGCTGTCCTTTGACTGCCATTCTGTGAGAAGTGCCTCAGAAGCGCGCCTTGGTAGCGACTCGGCAGAAAATCTTAATTTACAGAAAATGGGCCCTTAGGTCACTCCCTAGGAGACGGTCGGGCATTCGGGCCGAAACCCAAAGCTTCGGCAAATTTGGCGACACGCTCGAAGGCTTCAAAGCGCAAGGAAGGAGTGTACAGGCGCTGCCCCTCGGGGAAGGGCAGTCCATGTCCAACTGCCTTCAAAATGCCGAAGACCCCACCCAAGCCTTCGGTGTTCCCGATGCGCTTATCCATACAATAACCCACGGTCAGTGTATAGCACTGTCCCTGCTCATTGAAGAGCATGGACTGTGCCTGTGGGGGAGCCTCAATGCGCTTGTTTGTGGGAGGGATCGGGCGAGCAAAGTTCAACGTGCCAGTGTGAGTGCCCGTGGCACGGGCAAAGAACCAAACTCGATTTGGCTCCAGAGGGTCTACCTGAAACCAGCTATTGTCCGCCAAATCTGGCACGGCCTCCTTGATCTTGAAAGACCCGAAAGCCTTCATGAACTCCTCTTTCCCAAGCGGGCCTATGATGGGCGCCACGAACTGGAAATCCTCTGCCAGGCAGTCAGCCTTCGCCCCCTGTTTAGTTCCAAATTCGCTACCTAGGATCTCCTTTGCCATCGCGATGAGCTTCTCGGGAGGGATCGGGAACTTGCTCTGTGCCATCGTCTTCTCAACATCCAAATCCCCGAGGATCGAGTTCTCGGATGCGTAGACCGGAGTGTTGGAGTAGCGCGGAGGATGCCAGGCCACCTTGTTGCGACTGGTGTTCCTCCCGCTCGAGCAAACCCAATCGATCAGGTCTACGATGCCCAGAGAGACTGCTCGAAGCAGGCTTACCAGAGCATCTGTCCCACCCAGAATGACGGCAGTGGAAAGGTTCCCACAGGCTGAAACCGAGGAGCCCATTCTCTGTTCTAGGGCTACCTGCTACCTGACGGATCTTGGGCCAACAGCTGCCCGATCGGCTCGCGCTGCATCTCTTCAAATGAGCAGACAACAGCAACACCCACGCGGACGATTACAAAAGCTACTCCGCTGCTCCCAGGATCTCCTACATGCCTTGCCCTCTGCGGCTTTCGCTAGGACAAGCGACTCCTGAAAGGGATTGTTCATCTGTCAGTGCTCGGTCCGGCCGCGATCTGTTTTGAGCGCTCAGCCCAAAGGATCAACAATCGGCCAAGATGGCTCGAGGCATTAACACGGTGCACACCGCAACCCACTGCCAGGACGTCCCCGGCACATGGCCCACGCACGTCAGACGCTGCTGTAGGCGGTGCGCAGAGTCTTCGGGAGCCTCGGCTGCTCAAAGCTACGTCAGCGGACAGGCGGGGCCACCACAGCTGTAGGACTGTAGGCTTCCTTCGCCATGGCACAGTGCAGTCGTGGCTTTGGCATGCTCAAAGATTGCAGCACCAGCCAGTACAGCTGCAGCACCAACCTGAGTAGCTTCCGAGACAAGGTCTGCTTGTCTCCATTCTAGCGAGTTGCTCAGCTCTGCCCAAGGCCGTGACAATGAAACCCAGGCTTAGCCGCTCATGCAAGAAGGCACTGGACCTCACATGCTGAGCGATGTTCAAAGTTCTCTCAGTTCTTCGCTTCTGTTACACATGGTCTGAGTTCAAGGTCGACCCCGGTTTCAGCTGCTTGTCTCCGGCCAGAGTTCTTCTTTCAATTTATGGCCGTGTTCGCGTCATGAAGGTCTTGAGGCTGGGACAGAGCAACCGTCACCAGAATGTTGAGCTTCCCAGCTATCTGCGCTGCCGCCGCTCCAAGCATCTTGATCAAGACCATGCCTTGCCCGTCGAAACAGAACCCAGCATTCGATAGCCGGTGAGGGCAGAGCCAGTCCCTGCTAGTGAATCAGAGGGGGCAAGGCACCCATGAGGCTGAGGTAGACAGCACACGCCGTGCTGAAGGCCAACCTTAAAGTCAGGAGCGTTGTCATCGGCCAAACCACGGCAAACGTCTGAAGATGCCTTTTAACTAGGACAGCTGGGGGGCAGAAGTGCCGTCGAGGCGTTGAGAGACAGGAGCTCCATGTAAGGCTTCCAACCCTCCAAAATCAACGTGAGAGCAAAGCCCAGCACAAAGACCTGCATCCAGGGATCAGCCTAAGGCTGCACCTGCGAGCAACAAGCCTCCCAGTGTGCTGCCCGAGCGCTGCTGGCGATGCCAGTGCGACGACTTGTGTCGGTCTTAACCGCGGACAAGCCTGGCACGCAAAGCTCGGTGGAAAAGCAAGCTCTCAAGGAACTTTTCGAAAAGAATGCACAATTAGACTTTTTGAGACAGGGAAGCTTACCCTTCTCGAGGGCTAGAGATGGACAGACCGTGCGAAGGGCACAAGACAAGTGAAGACTAGGACTAGGATGAGCGAAACCTGAAAAGGACGACTCGCTCAACTGCTCGAGTCTCTTTCGAACGGCCGGTATGCATGTTTGCCAAACAAGAAGCAAGACATCTTGTGTGGCTGCTTCCTATTCATTGCGCCTTGTCTGCTGCATATTCGTTCATCTGACAATCCATGAGCACTGATCGGACTGACCTCGCGAAGAGGGCACCTTAGCTGTAGCTTGAGACAGGACTACGCAAAATCTGTAACAGCCCTACCACACGCATCCAAGGGACCAACACCCAAGCTCATGCCAAAGACTGCCAGGGAGACAGGCTCTGAGCCGCTCCTAGTAATATTCTTGAGGCCCTCGATGGAAATGACGGCATCCTTCACTGTGATGAGGGCTCGCGCTGCAACCCTTGCTCTCTCAAGCTTGCAGCAAAGGAACTCCAGCAATAGCAATCACCTTGGTTCCCGTCTTCGTGCGTCAAGCCGTCAAAGCATGGATTTTTTCGACAGAGACACCATTCCCGCCCAAGCCAAGGAGGTGATGCGAGCACCAAGCGTCGCAGAGACCAAAGCTGTCAGGACCTGGAGCACAAGCTTACGCTTGCTACTCAAGACACTCGTAGGTCACTGCGACTTCCATCGTAGGATCCTGGCTGGGCAAAGTATGCCTATGATGGCATTGAAACCCGCACCAATGTACAAGAGCGAACACGTGTTCCTCGGCGGCAAAGCTAAAATCTGACGGGTTGCCGCCGAAAAGGCTCTACTATCGAAACATCTCAGTGGGCAACTACTAGGCTTTCTTGGCTCCTTGTGCCCTGGTTTCGTGCTTTGGAAGTCGCTGAGCGGAGCATTGGCCCAGCAGTCTTCAGGATCTATCAATTGCCATGCAATGTTACCTCATGAGGCTGCGCTTCCGTTGGCCAACTAGGCTAATGCTTACAAGGTGCAGAACCACATTCAAGGTCTGGAGCACCGCGATGGGCAGAATCCGCTTCAGGTACCACTCTGCTTTCTCGTTACTGGAACTCTTCAAGTCCTGAGCCGAGCGTTGAGCTTAAAAAACATCTCCAGAGCACCCAGAGTCTGAATCCGAGTCGCCATCAGAGCGAGCAGCCCATCCTGAGCCAGAAGCTGTCCGAACCACTTCATCCGCGCGTCGCTCGAATCCCTCGCCTTCGCGGCTGCACCGGACCGCCGCTCGACGGCCCAAGACGCCAGCCAAACGCAAAGGAAGTGCAGCGAAGCCTTTGCTGGGCTTTCCATGGATGTCTTCAAGTCTTGACTACTTGCACCATGTTGAGACCCAGTACCTATCAGTGCAGGCACAGAAGCGATGCACGTGGGATACACGAAGCCCGTCTGGAGCACCTCAAACCACCAAGGTCTGCCATGATGCGAATAATCACGACATAGCACGACTACAACGCTGATGCTATTGATAAACATATAAAGCATCTCACAGAAAATACATTGGAAAGACAAAGCGGCACAACACCAACACCGACTGAGATAAGCTTGATTCAGTCATAGAGATAGCAGCTGTGCACTTCATGATGCCGTGCCTTTCCACTCCTGTGATTATGTTATGATGACGCTGATATGATGGTGGTGATGGTGATGGTGGCGGTGGTGGTGATGGCGATGATGGCGATGATTATGATGATGCCGATGCCGATGCCGATGCCGATGCCGATGGTGATGGTGATGGTGATGGTGATGGTGGTGATGATGATGATGGTGACGGCGATTATAAATATACATTAATATGATTGGTTTTACTTGTATACCTTGCCATCATTACCGCCACACGAATGCCTCAAACCGACTCTACCAGACACAGTCGGGTCGGGGCGCTAGTTTGGTAGACAGCTGCACGGCCATGATCGCCATGACCTGGCATTCTGCGAGGCTTTGCCGGGAACGAGAGGGGACTCCTGAGCTCAGGGGCCTGTGTGCTGACGACGGCAACACCTGAAAGTCCATGGCTTCGGTAGGCATAGGCAACGCCTGATCGCCCAAGGATCAACAATGCCTTCAGAAGAGCTGTTTAGAGGTTAGGCTCCTCGCCTGCAAAAATGCTGCCTGTGAAAACCAGCGCCACCCAGGGCGGCAAGATCACCCCTTCCGACAGCAGCTGAAAGGAGACAACACCACCTTGGTTGTGGGATCGTCTGAAGACAAAGGTTCTGTCAGACATCAAGGGAGCACTGCGAAATGAGGCAGCAGCCGGCGCCCATCGTGGCGGGCGATCAGGCAGATGCTGCCCGAGCTTCATTGTGCTGAGCCGGACAAGGCACGTGCGGGTTCGTGGGTTCCAGGACAGACAATCGCTACACATCATGGCCTTCCGGCGCACACGAGACCACCCTTTTTCCACTTCGCCACCAAGCCACGCTTGCGAGTCATGAAATTTCGCCTGGAGAGCCATGCATTTTGCACGGTTCGGTTCGGTGCCGACGAGAATGTTATTAACTTGATGCTGGGCATTCGCGAATGCGGTGCCACTCGCGGGGTAAGCCGGCCGACCAGCGCCGCTCCATGCTTGTATTTGACCAGCGACTTCCGCATTCCTGACAGTGAAGTTCATGCCGCCATGGCATCTGCCTGAACAACCCAGACTCTACCGACTTCCGCATCTGCAGCCGAGTCTCGTTGGTGTCACTGGAGGCCTTCGCCTTGGCAGTCCCAGAAACAGCAGCTGCGTCGAGCCTCGGAGTTCCGATGTCAGCACCGGGCTGCTACGTCTGAAGTCCAAGCTCAAGCTACCGAACGGGGGCTGCCAAAATGAGAGTTCATGCGCTATGGTGGGAACCCTAAACCCTAAAAACTGCTTTGAGACCGCCGCAGAAGCGGACGCACAAGTGCTGAAACCCTACAGCCCGACGGGCGGTTGAACAGCCGGGGCAGCGGCCAGAAGTAAAGACTGTTCCTGTGCCTCTGCAGCAAAGAGAAGCAGAGAGAAGGGAGAACGACATCTCCCAACGTGACCTTTGGGCGGCCTGGCCTCAATCTCAATGTGGAAGGGCTCCGGCTTTGGATTCAGCACTTTCAACAAGTCATGCGGTCTCCTTGGCAGGTATAGCAGAAATGCGGCATCGATCCGAGAATGCACCTACTTCGGATCCATAACACTGGGGCAACGCATCCAGCTGCACAAGCATGCAAAACTCACAAGGAAAAACACATTCCGCCGTGTGTCAACTCCGAAGTCAAGCCGGTGGTGGTCAGCCTGAAAAGGACTGTCAACAGCAACTGACTCGGTTGCGGCGCTCCTCCTTTGGTTCCCTTGCAGCCAAGCCTAGCTGGCTCGACCAGCACCTGCGAAGCGGGCACCATTGCGACCTCAAAGCAAGAGAGAGAGTACGGCTGCGGGATGCGGAAGATCGGAAGTATCCGCGTCATTGCCTCTGCGCAGTGCATGTCGCCGGTCGCCGTCGAAAATGCGGAGCAACAAGTCATGTCGCGGGTGAATTATTCACGGCAGGGCATTTTCCACACGCTCTGAAGCGCGCCGAGCTTCATGCGTATATCTTGCTGGTGGTACTACGTTTACTGCTACGAGTGCTACGATTGATAGCATATGTCTACGACCAATTCTACGAGTCGCCGACTTGATAGCTTGAGTTCGGTACCCGGGACATCGTGAGACGTTGTGTTCCTCCGCTGACGGTATAAATAACACAGTCGAAAACAAGTGCTGAGAGAAGCAAGAACTATAGCAACTATAGCAACAACACCAAGGGTGGAGGAAACTTTGTCGAAGCTACCGCCACAGGACTTGGTTTCGCCCGGATTCGACAGGTGACATTTTATGAAGCTCTGACCCATATCTTTCAAGAAGACCACCGTGTTCTCTGCGATAATGAACGCTGGCAGGCACTCGTTCGTATGGGCCACGGTGCAGAAGGCCGATCCCAGCAGGCTGCGTAGGCGTAGTGCACAACGATCACACCGACTGCACGTGCACCGGCCGTGTAGTTCTTGCCGTCGACATCCGTATAGTGGAGGCGGACTCCACCCTGCCTCATCAGGAGACTGGCAAGTCCCACGTTGTCACACACTCCCACGACGGACTCGGAATGATTATCTCATGGTCCTTGTTCTTGCACATGTGGTAGTAACAACCATCTACCATTACCCCATTGAGTGCCTTCGTGCTGCAGGTGCCTTTGTTCGATGGCGGAAAAAACCAGCCCCAACATCTATCTGTCCATCCGCCCGCAACCTGCAAGGGCATAGTAATTGCCGCAAGCCGGCAGAACATGGTACGAGCGACATGCCGTGCTTTGACACAGGATGGATGACGCAGATATGCTTGAGCTAAAACGGCTTCTGGCAACAGAAAAGTGGGGTGGCTTTGCAGGGGGTTCATCTTATGGGGAATCGCAGACTTACTTCGCCGGGGCTTGGATCCCTCGAGGGCCTATATTATATGAGCAGCATGCCAAATAAATTCAAATAAACACAAACAAACACATATACGACCTCAAACCACAGAGATTCCAGCACAGGGGAGAGACTGTATTGAATGAGTTGAGCTACAAGTCAAAGCCATGGGCAATCGCAGTAAGCCCATGACGCGCTGCATCTGTCCAGGATGCTTGGAGATCGCAGCCTAACCCAGAGACAAGCGTGAGAACGTAGCTGCTGCAGATTCAAGACGCGGTTGAGGACTGCCTACCGTTACCATCCGTTGCCGTTTCCAAGCTGCGGAACTATCGACTCATGTCCTAGCGCCCGACTTCTGATTGCTCCATGCGAAGATTTCGGTGGTTCGCTTAAGCCAGAGATTTCCTCCCACGCTACACACACCTTCGCTGACTCATGCCCACTACTCAGCCCATTCTGGGGAAAAGCCGGCCTACTGGCCCCCACCTCTGTCGCAACCGGCATCGCAGAAACCTGCAACTGACACAAGGTCAGATAAAAGGACGCACACCCACCACGTCCAGTCGACTCAATTCTGCTGCAGCCTGCAGCTGGCATTGCAAGAAAAAACAAAAGGACATGCAATGAACGCTGCGCCTTTGGGATGTGAATCTGCAATGTGTGCGTGTGAGATGCCAAGATGTTCTCGGCCTTCCCACGGCATTCAACTCATGCTCCCACCAAGAACCCTCGCTAGCGACTCTAATTAGGCCGCCTTGTTCACGGCTGGATGGCCGGGCAGCGAGTTGCCACCGGTCACGGATCGAACAGGCGATCGCACAGGCGGCGCCTCTCCCAAATACGACATCGAAATACGAGGTCTAAGAGGCCACATCAAAAGGAACGCAAGATCAAACAGAAGGCGCACAGAAATCGCCTCTGGACTTGCATTTCGTGCCTTGCACACGCGGGAAGCCACTCACCCATGTGCGGAAACTGATGGCGACCAAGCTGCTGCTGTCCCAAGCTTCGCCTGGCGGCATCTGTTCGACCTAGGCCTAGGGACGCCTAGTCGAGCCCCCACCTGACGCACGGCCTCTTCCATGGCTACCCGCCGCCGCTCCTGCACAAGGCTTACCAATGTGAACAGCCCTTAGCAGGGAAGCGGCGAAGTGCATCAAAATGAAGCAGCTGCCGGGGGCATGCAACTAGAAGACCAGGCTAGCGGTGTCTTTGTTCACATACACACACACACACATCAATCATATATATATATATACATACAAATACATATCAATATTACACGTACATGTGTCTACATATGTACGACTACGCAGTGGATCGCAGTGGCATGCGCACACTCAGGAAGGAAAGATCGGAATTGACGGAGCCGTAAAAAGCAAACAGAGCTTGGGAGGCACGCCAGTAAGAGGGCCTGCTCTTCTTTCCGCGCATCGGAAAGGAAATTTTCCATCCTGGGCTTGGACGGGCAATGCATGGGCTTCATGCAGGCAATGGTCCTACGCTGACAGGGCTAGGCATTCACATGTGTCCGGGTTTCGCCGTTTTGTTGCCACAGTGGCGTAATGTTTGGGATTTCGGGTTTGGGGTCTTTGGGCTTTCTGCTTGGGACGGTGACAAGAGCCAATCACAGCCAAGCGTCTTGTTTGAAAAAAACGACTCTTGCTTTCCATTCTGCATGCTGATCGCAGAACCGCGCTGGAATGTCAGCAAACCACACCTGCTAGTTCCGTTGCACTCCTGACGCGGAGACCACGAAAACGGTTGTGCTTGCTGTCTTTGTGTTGGCTTGCTCTCGCGGCCTTCGCATCTCTGTGCCTGATAGGATCGAAAACAACACTTCGTCTATCTCCGCTGAGGCAATATGAGGCAATTTAATGCACCGTGCCGATAGCTTGCCATCTACGCATGCTTTGAGCAACATCCGCCGACCCACCAGGTGCCCTCCAGTAGTGTTCATGTCGAGGCTTTTGCAACAAGGGTGCACATCGATTCTTTTCTCCACACCGTCAGGAAATGCGGGCGTTGGCTCTCATTGGCTGCACTCCGAATTTTTGACTGCAGCTCAGGCCCCTAGGGCTGAGGAAGCCGTCGAAGGCACTGGTGGATTGTCGAAGAGTGCCAATACCTGCCACATTAAGGCTCTCTGACATATGTAGACTACACAAACGTGCCATGCCCCTGCGGTGCCTCTCGTGTGTCGGCGCCGGCACTAAGTGCTGCCAGCGCCTGAGGCGGAGGCTGAGGAATAAATTCTCTCTCTTCTGTGGCTCTGCGCACATCACAAACTCTCGCCGCAGCCGGGTCCAACTCTGCAACCTGTCTCAGCCGCGAGCAGCGGAGGAAGATCTCAGCACAGGTAAGAATCGTAAGAAGCTGCCGCGAAGAAAATCCAATAGTGTAGTACCGCAAACATCACTGGTGATCTTCTTCCATTGGTTCCATCGGTGAGATTTATGGCTACCTCAGCTGGTGGAACGTCTGTGCACAACCAGAGTGGCATAGAGCCTAAGGGGAGCCAAACCCAGCTAGTGTCGGTGGATGAAACCGCAAGCGCAAGTCTGACCCGAGAATTGCAGCGAGCCAAGCTCCAGACGTAGCGCTTGCGGCGGGCCTGACAACGGACCCAAACGGTCGAATGTCATCTCTGACATGGAAGCTGAGCCGCAAAAACGCTACACCCTGAGCCCCTGCAGTACCGAACCCCTAACACTTCAATCCCGAATCAGCCCTGCTGAACCCAAACGACGCAAGCCAAAGAAAGCCATTCAAAAAGGCGCATTCGGCCACTAAACCAAAAAGCCAAATTCCCGTTGGGGTCCCAGGCCTCATGCCGGTCTGCCCGGACGCACTGAGCGGGGCAGGGCTCGGCCTCGGAGCAGGCAAGTCTGTGGGCCAGGGTACCTGGGATCTAAGGATCCTTGGAAGCACTCTGCTGCTCTGCTCTTCCGTTTAACTGCGACTTGCACTAGCAAACTTGTCACACAGGGCCCATTGGCCCCCCGCACTTGGATGCTGCAACTCTTCGGCACACCCACGAGGGATGCACAGTCGTGTTTGCACGTCTTTACATCGATGCTGTGGCTAGGCTACGCGAAAGCCCCTTTCTTTGTGCCATGCAGGCACACGATGCAGGACTCAACATGTACACACGAAATAGCAGACATCTCGCGAAATGCCATGGATCTTATGGCTGCACCATTGGCGTCCTAGTGCCCGACTTCGGAGGTGTCCGGGCCACACCCAAGCGGGCCTCTTCCAACTCCACCCATTGCCTGATGTCAGGAGAGCCGGGTAGGCAGCTTGGGTTGAGCATTTGGGCTTTCAGGTTTTTGGGGCCAGCTCGGCTAGCTTTTCCTCCGGCCGGTCACGTCGATACAACTCAACCTTTCAGGCATCCTGCCCTGCACTCAGCCCTTAGGAACTGCCTAGTCGGTCTCAAGGATCTGGGGCTCGCACAAGACACCCTCAACATGACATCAGGCTGGACTAGCTACTTGGTCTGCTGACGGCTCCCTTCCCCACCCTGCACTCACAACCACGTGTCTACGACGGCAGTATCTAAAGCTACCGGGTTCCTCGTCTGGGCATTGGGTTGCAGGTTAAGATTCGATTGTCGCGTTGAGGGTTTACGACTCGGAGGACTCTGGAATATATCCAATTCAACCCCATGGCCTCAGGTAGGCGAGGCTCTCTGCCTCTGCCGTGGCGACCGGGGTTGCAGCAACCTGGCAGGTTGCAAGCAATTGCAGCAAGTGGCTTCGAACAACGAAGAGAGGTGGCTCCAAGGATCGCTGCAAAGATACAGAACACGGCACCCCATCACATCGCCATGCGCCTCCTTCTGCTCTTCTGGAGCTCGTGATGGGGCAGGGGCAGGGGCCGCCACCTGGAGAGTTGTCGACGGAAACAAACAGTTCGTCGGCTGAGCCTGTGAAGGATCAACAACCGAAGACAGCCTTGACCGATTTTTTCCACAAACGGGTGCTCAGTGTTCTCCTTTGTTTCTGAACATCTGCATTACCATCTCCATCTTCTCTTTGATGAGCGCCTTGTTTCTATCCGTTCTCCTGCATTTCGCTTCCCGGCCATTCGCCGCATCTTCGGGTCTGTCCCGCTTGGCATCCTTCGGGTCCTTGGCATCGGTCTCTCCCTTTGTCAGTCGGAGCTTCACCTTCTCGCTTTTGACGGCTTCGCCGTCCTTCTGAGCCTCCTTGGCCTCCTTGGCCTCATTCTCCTTCTGATCCTCTTCGGTCTCTTTCGCGTCCGACCTGGGCGTGGCCTCAGAGTCCCTCGGAGAGCCTTCCGAGGCCAAGCTCGCGGGGTCGCCGTCCGATTGGCTGCGCACCTTGGCTTCGCTGCTTCGCTTCGGCTTGGGCTTCAGCAACCTGCTCTGGACTTCGGACGTCGATGTGAGGACAAGGGGCCACAAGGTCGAACACGTCACTGTTCTCCTTAGGACATGCAAGCCCTGCCGCAGCCCCGCAGCCTGCGCAGTGCATCAAGCCTGGCTTTGACAGCTCCTTGCTCACTGCAAAGTGTAGGCACGTGCACTCCTGTTGAAGTACCACAAGCTTCTCCCGAAACCCAAAACCCTACAGTAAACCCAAGAGCCAAACTCCTTCTGCAGCCGCGACTCTGCGAACTCGGCGCCTCAAATTGGCAAGCAGTCATACCGACAACAAGCACGAAAAAACACCAGCAGCAGCCAAAAGCCATGCAGGCCACCTTTGATGTAGAATTTGTACGCCATGACCATAACTGCATCAAGGAGATGGGTATTGACGTCCCCAATGTCTTTCGTCTCTGCCAGCTGCATGTAGAAGCGAAGTGCGTTGGCCAGAATGAGCTTCCTCCAGGTTGGCACATATATCGCAGATTCACAACCTGTTTTTACACGACATGATCTCGGCAACATCCATCAGCTTGGCTGCTCCTTCCGCTGTCTTGTGATCTTTGCGGGGGCGTTCTAGTAGCATTCTGCCACGCAGGCAGGGAGAACAGGTACTCAACCAGTCCTCAGTCGCACTTCAGCCCAAACAAGCTGAAGCTTCGAAGATGCTTATAGCCCTTGTTGCCCGCGCTGCACGGCTAATGGAGGACCTTACTACGTTTGCTGATTGAACTACTATGTTCCTAGGTATCGTTGGTGTTATAGCTGTGCTTACATACAATGGTGCCATGTTTTTGCTGTCAGCCTTTACAGGATGAGACGTTAAGAACCAGCTTGATCATCCTCGTCACCGTCATCATCATCATCGTCATGACAATGACAATGATCATCGTCATCATTGTGATCATGGTCTTCATTGGAATTCACAGTGACCAGCAAGTGTCTAGCTGAGTCTAGCTGGTCATGACTTCGTCACTGAACACCATGTGCATGTGCAGCTGGATGCCTCCCCCACAAAGATTTTAAGGCAAAAATCGGTGCACTTTCTTCTGCAGCTTTGGCTTTGGAGACCATTGCTCACAGGCGAAGTTGAAGCCGAGGAGATAGAGCATCTGCGACTCCACCCTCAGAGTTCGAGACCACATCGAGAAGCTGTAGATCGTATTCCAAGAGACTTACTGCGTGCATGCAAGTCACCCGAGCATGCGGGCGACAAGCTGGTCGTGATCCTTTTCGGTTGAGTCTTGGATGAGAGCATCGGGATTGCCTCCAGAAAGACAGCGGCAAATCTCAAATGTAGGCTATTGCAGGTTACAACATACTCGCATGCAGCAAACACAAAAACACAAACAAAAACAAATACACATGCGCATATACATATATATATATATAATACCTACCTCTAGGTCGGTGCTGATGGGCTCGTTTCGAAGAGCCTTCCTTGCTTTATAAGAAAATAAATATATATATATATATATATATATATGTATTTCTATTCTTCTATACATATATATATACATTAAAATGGCTGCACTCCAGGTGCGTTCGTTTGCGACGCCATCATGCAGCTTTGTCATGATCTTCGCACGCTTCGGCAGGTTGGTGATCTTGCCACTCAGCCAAACAGCTCCCAATGCGACAACCTCATGCGACAAAGAGCCCAAAGCACCAGCTCCGAAACATCCATGTCAAAACCGAGAAGGCCTTCTTTCAGAGCCCAAGCTTTCATCGGGAGCCTGAACCTTCTCCCTTGGAGCCTCCCGGCACCGAACCTGCACGGAACGCCTTCGTGAGTTCGGTAACAAGACAAGAGGCAGGCCACTCTTCGCGCTTTCCGAGATGTGTCTTCGGCGACGGATCGTAGTAGCGATGCAGGCACCGAAAACAAGTCAGCAGAAGGATGTCAGAATCAAAGTCTGCTGACTTCTTGTCCTGCAGTGGGGCAGGGGCAGCAATGTGCCACTGCAGGTATACATGCTTGACACTGCATTGAAAAGAAAAAAGCGCAGTTGCTGCACCACTTCAGACAAGTCACATCAGCCCCACCCATCTTGGTTGCGAGCTTCTTGACGCGTTCACAGGCCTTCTTGTGCTGCTTCTTAAGCTGCTCAAGATCGACATTTTGGGACGCCTGAGTCACCTCGACCGCCTTCACTGCAGGCTCGGCTGTTGCAGTTGCAGTCGGCGTTCGCAGTTCAGGCGTCGTGGCAGGCACTGCCGACGAAGGAGTAGCCGCGGAAGCGGGGGGAGCCGCTGTTGACACCCCGGTGGACTCGCGAGTGTCTACCATGCTTGAAGGCTGCAGAAGGCTTACATCAGCAGTCAAAACTGCGATTCATCCTTCGATCCATACTGGTTGATGTTGCGATGTACTACTAAACCCAAGCAAGTCGACAAGCTAACGTACCTTGGCAACATGCCCCAAGTGTTGCGGCAGGGCTTCCAGTGGCTGCAAGAAAGACAGCGGCCGCAAGGGAATACACGAGCACGTGTCGAGTCAGATCTTTCTGATGATGTGTCAGGGTCGGCAAAAATTCAAAAGCCTTGTCTGGAACCGGGTCTTTGCGATGACGTCGGGACCTCTCCTGAGAGCACACAACAGCCGATTGAACTCGTGGAATACTTGTTGGTCGCGAATGTCATAAAGGCAAACGGAACTCAAAGAGAGAGAGAGAGAGGAGCAGCCCCAATGGAAAATCTAGCTTGTTTGAGTCTGACATACTGGCGTCTGGGGTCGAATAAGCTGACAGCTCCAAAAAGCTGAGAGCCGATCTATCGCAGCTCCTGCCAGGGCAATCGTGCTGACTCAGGCTTCTCACCACTCATGCATCACGGGGAGGACACCTGTCAATTTCATTTCAAAGCTTACTTCAGAACTGCGCGAAAGGTGGCTGCCGGATCAAGAAAAAATGCACAGAAAAGAACGCACCGGATCTATAAAGATGGGATCAAAACATTACAAGTCGCTTCACAGCTCCGGGTTGGCTTGGCTTGGCTGGTTTGGTTTGGGCTTGTGGGCTTGGCTTGAGCAGGGTGGGGGTTGGGCTCCCCCCAAGCACACCTGCCAATGAGGTGCTTGCACAAATTGCTCAGACAATGCCGACTGACCCGACAACAGCGCAGTTTTGCAGGAGTGGGCTCGAAGTGTGGTCGCCATCTTCCTGCAAGCTTCCTTACACCCGAAAACGAAAGCCCCACCAACATGATGCTGGAATTGCAAAGCCTTCATCGGGGCCGGAATCCCGTTTTGACCGGGGCCGTGGCCCGGCTGGACTGCTATGGCCCAATATTAGTATTACCTCCATTAGATACGAGAAAACTATTGCTGCGACCAGTACAAGCCAAGAAGCCAGAAAGCTCAGAAGAAGCCAAGAAAGCCAAACCAAAGCCAGAAAGCCACGCAAAGCCGGGCCAGAAGCCAAGAAGAAGCCCAGAAATCCACCAAGCCAGAAAGCCTGCACGCGCAAAGCCAAGGGGGCCGAAGGGCCGAACACGGCTCGGCAGCCAAACGCCCTTGACATAGCTCTTATGTGTTCCTTGATCCTTCGTGATTTTTCAACTGATCCTTGTTCATTTATATGTTGATCCGTTTTGCGTACTTGTTCAACCTTTCCGGATACCTACCCTTGCGGAAGTTGCCTGGTGCGACGGCAGGGGCGCGCAGTAGCCTCTTCTCGGCATTCTGCACCTGCGCACCAGACGTGCGAAGGGACCAGCGATATCAATATCCAAGAAACCTGAATCAGGGGCTTCCGGCCTTCTCAACCAACATCGTGTGTCTTTTGCGGAGCCCACGCATCTTCTCGCGGCTCTGCTGCACCTCAAGCTAGAGGATTTTTCGTGGCCTTCTGCATCTTGGAACTGTGAATCAGAGCACTCATTCAGTTGTCGGACTCCGACTATCCTGACGAGTTCCGATCGAGATACTAGTTTGGTCGAACCAAAAACGGGCGGCCCGCACCACACGAGCCTACAAGACCGGACCAGTCACAAGAAGGCCACAATAAGACCACGAAGGAAGGACGGGGAAACGCCTGAGATGCAGCCGCAGCCGCGTATGGCTACCGCGCGCGACCCTTACCCCCACGGCCGGCCCGACAGTCAACATGGTACTTATGTCGCATCCCACCTCCAGCAACAAGCTTTCCTTCTGCTGGCGGGCTCGCAGCGTCTCGCTTTGTGCATCCTTCCCGGAAACGTTCCAGCTTGGAGGAGGAGCAGCTGGCTCAGCTTCTCAGTCTCGAGTCCTCCACATGGGCCTCCAGCTCTCTCGTCCGCCGCCTGCATTCTTCCGGCAAATCGTGGCTTCAACATCATGGCACCCCTCCAAAGCTGTGGCCTCGCGGCGTCCAAAGAGGACTCAGCGTTGCGAAGCTTGGACTGGATGTCGGCCGTCACAGTGGTAACCTGAACTGGCAGCGGGATCCACCGGTCCAGTGCAACTCATGACAGAGCCTCCTCCCGCTCTTGACGGAGCTTCTCGGTAACGATGAAGACGCGCTGCAGCTCCTCCTGGCAAAAGAGAAAGCGACTCAAGTGCCGGACCGGCCTTTCTCATGGTTTCCACTTTCTACACATGGTCACAGTAAAGCCTACAGACTCTACGAAGACAGACGTTGAATCTGCTAGACGACACAAGTACAAGTTGATGAGTGAAGTCATGATTCCTGCCTGGAGAGAGAGGCTCACGGTATTCGCACCCTGCGTAAGATCATAGGAAGACACTGGTATTCGGCCATATCGCTTCGGAAACTTCTGGCCTTGCTGCTCTCCTCGAGTTCCTGCAGAACGCACCTTGCCAACCCAACATATCGGTGCAACCTAGAGCGGCAGTGAGTACCCTTGCAATGATATAGCGACAAGTTCAAAGGACAAGAATAGTTTTCCTGCATCACACAGTCTTGAATGAAGCGAGAAGGAACAGAAACCCTTCCACCAGCATACAAGTACAATACGCGTTGCAACCTTTGCCCCTGTTATTGATCAGGTACAGAAAAACCCTTGGAGGACACTCCCAGTGAACATCAAATACATACGCTCTTCTGCGGATGTTCCATGAGTGAAACGGGTCGCGGGGTCTTTAACTCTAGTCAAACATCAAGAGGGGAAGGAGCATGGTTGGCCCGTCTTTCAGGCTTTAAGTGGCAAGTCGACCAAAGGAGACTTGCAGGAGCTTTATCTTTTCCAAGCTCGCATCCAAGAAAGTTCCCATCGGAGAAGGCACGGCTTTGAGAGAAGATGGGCGAAGCGAGAAGGTAAGAAGGCCGTCAGGAATCAAGAACACTCACCCCTTCTTCATGAAGGCAGCAATCATATCCCCGCCTCTGCTGGCGGACAGAATCACCGAGACCCTGCAAAGAAGATGCACATGTCTACAAGTCCGTGTAAGGTTACATCTCGCAGCTGTCTCTCGCACTAGTTTCTTTCCTCGGGCCGGACAAGCATGCGAGGTCTGCGACGTCCTTTGCTAGCTTGCCGTTACCATGCTCTTTAGCCATCATCTGCTATCACTGTGTGTGTGTGCGTGTGTGTTGAGTCCATGTTGATCTTCATCATTCCTGCCGTGCGGTCTGCTCGCCTGCAGGCGCTGCTGCCAACGTTCCAGGTCTGCCTCTGCTCTCCCATGGCAGCAGCAGGTGCACGCCGAATCAGCTCTCGCTCTGTCTCTCTCTGGGGCCCCACCGTGGCTGCAGCAGTGCCCTCGGCGGCGCTGGAGAGGCGTGTCAGCGCCTCCTTGTGCCTCCCGGATGCAGAGACTCGCGTGGACACGTCTCATGAAAAAGCTCATTCAGATCCAGTAGTCTAGAGTCTAGAGAGTCTAGTCTTTCCGACCTCGCATCGAGAGTCGCACAGAGCTCCTCGGACGCTTGCTGTGCCAACGTCGCGGCCTCAGACTCCAAGAATCGGAAGCTTGCCACGGCCAGATGCAGTGGCGACAGGATGCGACAGAGTCGGGCCTTCAGCTGGCTGTGAGCCTCCACGTTCTCTTTCAGGGCCTCCTCCAGCTGCACCTTCCATCATCTTCCATCGAGATGCTTCGGACAGAAAGAACACCAAGACTTCCCTTCCCGCCTTCAGAGATCGAAGCTTCTCGAGGCCCTCCCTCGCCGCGGCCTCCTTCAGTCTGCAAATGTCTGCACTGCTCCCGTGCGCTCCTGTGCCCCAAACCCAAACGCATCTCGCCGCAACGGATCCGCCTGCTGCTCCAACAGAAGCCTCTCTCGGCTGCGGGTTTCCAAGCCAAGCTTCTCCTGCTGCAGCTCCTGCAGAGAGGAAAGAGGAGGGCTCTTCTCTTCTACAGAGTTCACGTGGCGGGCACGGGGGCCCGGGCCTCCTCCGCAGAGAGCAGCTTCTGCTGGAGGCTTTCCAGGCGGTCCTGGTACAAACCGACCTGGGGGAAGGGCTTGCGGCTTGGGATTAGAAGCGAGGACCTCGGACCGAATTCCGAAACTTTGGAGGGATCCTTACCATGAGGACCACACAACCAAGCCAAACCGCTGCTTCTCAGCCTGAGTTCCCGACCTGCTTCTGGGCGCTGACCACCTCCTCCTCGAGAAGTTGTGCTTGGATTTAGAGTTTGTGAGGTCAAGAGCCTTAGAAAAGATTCAAAGTTCTTTCAAGCTTCAGAGTCGCTCCTCCATGGTCTGCACTCGCTTCTCCACCACCTGCCGCTGGCGGCCTGTTTCGACTTTTACGTCGGTGGCTTCTACTACGGGGCCTCCACAACAGCTGCAAGTTTCTGGTGAGCAGATGCTCCATCAGCTGAACAGACTTGCCAATGCAAGTCTTCCAGGCTCTCTTGTGTTAGAAGACATGACCACTTCGTGTACCGTGCACCTGCATCTGCCAACTTCGTCTCGAGCTCACGCAAGCCACTTCGACGGACGCGGTCACGCTCGTAACCTGGGCCCGCAGCGGATCTGCTCAGCTGCCACTGGCCGGACGGAACGCTTCTGTGCCAGCCTGCGGCCAAGTCCTCTTCTTGTGAGGATATTCGCTGCATCACGGCCTCTGCAACAAATCTTCTGCAGCTGTCGAAGAGATCACAAGAACGCTTTGTGACCTAGACGCTGATTGACTGACTTGGCCTCCACTTCAGCCCGAAGCCGCTGCCGCTCACGCTCGCACCTATGTGGGCAAGCGCACGAGGCCAATCACAACATGGAAGGCCAAAAAACAAGCAGAACATCAATCGAACCGACATTCTAAGATCTGGTCCTCCCTGGGCAATTGCCTGCCTGGTGTACCATGCTTCCTCTTCCTGGATTTGGTCCGCCGTCTCCTGCAAGAGCTCAAGGATCTCAAACTAGGCTTTTCACTGTGGCCTCCCCCCGAAAGAGATGCCAACAGCAGGACAAACGCCGCTTGCCGCTCCCAGCCTGCAAGGTCTTCTGTTCCTCCCGGCACTGCCTGTCTGCCAAGTCACTGCACATCCAATATCTATGAAACGAAAGCTGGAAAGGCAAGGGCGGCAAGGGTACGTGTCTCCCCACACATGGCTTCGGATGCTCTGAGGCCCTCACGAGCTAAGCCGCTCACAGTCCATGTTGGTCGCTAGAGCGGCCTCGGCTGAACACGGAACCCAGGCCGCATCGCTGCATAATCGCTTAGCGAAATCACGTCCACACCTCTTTGGCTCGCGTCACTTCCGTTGCCACGAAGTCCGTGCCGGCCCTGGGCAAAGAGGACGCACTTGCGCAAAGCTTTTGTTCAGTCAGGGACGGAAGGCGACAATGCCTAGTTTGCAATGTTGTGCCGACTCCGGGCCTTGCTTCTTTAAGGCGCTGCTGCGCTGCTTCAGCCTGGTGCAAGCTTAGCCGACTCGCCTGTCCCATAAGAACTGACAAAAACAGCAACGAGATGACCGGCTGTGACTTCACTGGAACGCAACCCCTGCAGCGGGCATTGATGGCAACCACTACCTGGCTCCCCTTGAACAGCATAAAGAATCTGAATTTGACAGCAAGGACGAGTTCAAAACATTCATGCCATTCCCCAACATTTATCCGACAGCCTCTGCCAGCTGCGTTCGCAGTGCGTTCTGCATCCTCGAACATCTCAAACAAACACAGATCAGCAAGTTCTGGACTGACGCATCCAAGGCGGTCGACTTCGAAAAGTGGGTTAGCAGCTGGATGCACAGGCCAGAAGCAAGCTGCTAGATTTCGTCATCTTCGCAATCAAGACCCCGGCTGCGATGACGTTGCCTTGCACGAAGAACGAGGTGAGGGCAACATCCCACGTACATTCTCCATGTCAGACCATGTCAAAGGAGCTGAAGCTGCGCGCAAGCTGGGGCCTGTCGTGCGCTTGCACGCTCTCGCACTTCTTGCCTCGTAAGAACTTGGCTGTTTGAATTGCGCATCCACACCCCGCAACACTGAGAGCAAACCCTCTGCCCTACTTCCCTAGAACAATTCACTGCATAGCTTGCGTAGGAACATACCTTTTTGCACCCATTACCTACATTGCAACTTTGCTGCTCGAAGTAGCTGACATCAAGTTCACTGTGAAGGAACAAGCGAAGAGAGTGAGAGATCCAATCTTCGAAGCTAGGTTTGATCTTCATTGTTAACCACTGACACTCAGACTGGGCAGAAACAACTCGCAAGCTCAATCTGACTTGCCTGATACAGCATCAAGTCTAGCTGAAATCCGACTTCTGTTTTAATGGTGCTGAGAGCCTTGAATGTTGTGTCAACTCCCAACATTCCGCGAAATGCGGTATCACAGCAAGGCAACAGGAGTCCGAAACATGAGGTACATTCCAGTTGCACATGTGATCATGGGGAAGATGAAAGACGTGCCAACAGTATCCAACAGTGCTAGCAAAGCACCTACGCACCGAAGGGGAATGCCAGAGAGCGGCTCAGAGAATCGGACTTGTCGACTGCATGGAAGGAAATTAACCTAGACATGAAAGCAAAACGAAAAGGAAGTCTGTCGGATCAGTTAGAACATCACGCCGTTGTATGAATCATGCCTGGAACATGAAAACAGTAGGTTTGAGTGTACTCCGAGCCAAAATTGTAGAGCATTATTAGATTCGCATGTGCGCACACAAACATGTCGCCTGCAGTCGGGCTATCGTCCAGATGCTTGCTCTCAGCGCGCTCGGACGGTTCCTCAAAAGCTTAGACCCACACTGCAGGGCGACCGATCTGGTTCGAACTTCAGTGTGACGAGCTTCTGCGACCCGTACACGGTCCATAAGTTCTGAAAACTTTTGACCTCGGTTTGTCCGAACCCTTTGCAAGGCCAAAATATTGCCTGAAGCAACCTGCTTCGCTTGACCGGCTTGCACAGCACGACTGATCACTACCGGCAAATCGTTAGCATAGAATCACCTGCCCTGAGCCAAGCACATAGAAGGCGAACAATCTGATCGGGGTCCTGAACAGCGGACATTGGTCTGATACAGGAATGCGACAACAAATGGAACCAGAAGGAGGTTCGTGCAAAAAACGGAATCATCAAGCTGCTTGCTGGACAACAACATGAAGTGATGGTCCTGAACAGCTTGTGCCAAATCACCTTGCGCGGTTGGCACAATGCTCCAAGTTGGCAGTGCTTGGCAGCACACGACAAGATCAACATCCTTGAAATAGCATTAGATAGTCTGGTTTTCAACAGCCACAAAGGCCATGCTGTGCATGCTCGAGGCAACGACTTGCGCTGCATGACATTGACTCCACGGCGGCCATGTTTGTCGGAATGCAGCAAACATTGTTTACATCATGACTTGCTATAGGATTCGATCGATCGAAAATTTCTCTTACTGACCCACAAGCTGCTCCTGCTGCTGTCTCCATGGTTGCACTTATTTATGATGGATACCATCTAGCTTCGGCTGAAGGGTTCGTGAAAGCTGACGAAGCTGAGCTCAAATGGGACGGCAACGGACGGCACACAGAACGCTGGTTTGCAACCCTGCCCAAGCACAGCGAAATGCTTGACTTCACAGCTAGCAAACAATGAAACTCAAAACGTGTGAAGCGCTTGGCGGCGGTCACAACGGTCCACGCAAGTGAAGGTCAGTGTGAGATCGACCGTGTTTACAAGGCAAAGGTCCTAAAGGCAAAGGCAAGGACTTACAGTAAGAGGCAGCAAAAGCAAGGACAGCAAAGGTCAAGGTAAAGGCAAACGCGCTGAGAAAGGTGAGATGCAAAACATGGAATCATGGGCCCTGCGGCAAGCTCAATCAGAAAGCTTGCAATAAAATGCGATGGACTCCAAGGCTCATGCGCGGCCCCACAGCCTGCCATGCACTGAGAGTTGGCAAGCCATGCTCCCGCATGATAAGATGGATCACAAACTCTGCCATGTCATGCCCAATCCTTCTGCTTGAAATGAACATGAGACACCATGTTTTCTCGGGTTGTTTTTGTTGCATTCCGTGGATCACACAACTCCAACACATCTGCGCAGTCCAAATGCTCTAAGCGGTTCAACATCTTTGGCTCGATGACACAAAACCACTTTTTCTGCAAGCAACAGACAATGCCCACAGCATCCCCACGGCAGGCACGTTGTCGCTTCCATCTGCCGCTTGTGTAAATTGTGTTTAGAGTCTAGATTTGCTTTTTCGACTGGTTAAATGCCGCGCTGCCTTTGATTCTTGCTTTTTGAACTCGAAGCGGACTTGTCTAGTCTTGCCCTTGAAACGCTGCGTCGACATTGCGCATGCATTCGACACTCCATGTGGTGCGGAGCGTCTTCTTTCACATCAAAAGACTTTCTGAAGGTTTCTTCCAAACAACAAACAATCCCATTGAATAACCCCAACAGCGGAATGGCTGTCGTCGGGCTCACATGAACGGATGCCAGAAAAGCTCAAAGGTTTTAGGTAGGCTTGCACTGCGCTAGCACTTCAGCTCTCTTTTTTACCGTGTTGGATCGGTAGCCGTAGCGGCTAGCCGAAGGCTGACAGATGCTGCGTGGCAGAGTCTGTCGAAAAGGAAAACACCCCCCGGCTAGACTTTGTGAGAAGACGAGTGAAAAGGCGTGCATTCGTCTGGAATTAAGGCAGATGCTGAGGCAGCTTTATAGCTATGAAACACACTGTTTTAGAGTGTTTAAGGCAGCGGGCGAATGTTTAGCCCTGTAGGCCGAGGGCTGGAGCGGTACCGGGAGCGAGGCGTCCGGTATTTCAAGTTGGCCGAGGCGGCCAGCTGGCTTGAGACGTGGCGAAGGCTCCGTGTGAGAAGTCACTGAGGCTCATCAGTCGACATCGAGGGCGACGTAGAGCAGCACCTGGGCGTCGGGGTTAGGGAGGGCAAACCCAAGGGGTCAGGGCTGAGCAGCAAGCGGCTTGACGTCAAAGATGCGAGGGACCTGCGTGACAGCAAGACATATCCGGCAAAGACGTCGGAGACTCCGAGGCAAAGGCTTGTGGCCGAAAAGGCAAGGACCTCAGGCGAGATCCGAAGGTTGGCTTGTGCAACCTGGAAAGGCTTGGTGGTGTCGGGATGGCTTTGCAGACCGACAGCTAAAGCCCTGGATGCGCGTCTGCAGGACAGGAGGCGCAAGTGCCTGGTAAAGCAACAGGTTCAAGGTTTGGGCGGGTGGGGCTTTTCGAGAACTGCAAGTGCTAGAGCCCGGCTACACGTAGGCATGTATGCATGTCAAGCGTGTAGAGATTCGCAAGCTGCGAAAACATTCCTGAAACAAAACAGGTAACGTTTTAGGGAGGCTTGCACTGCTCTGGCACTTCAGCTCTTATTTTTACCGTGTTGGATCTGTAGGCGTAGCGGCTAGCCGAAGGCTGACAGATGCTGCGGGGCAGAGTCTGTCGAAAAGGAAAACACCCCCACTTTAGGGACAGATCCAACCGGTAAAGAAGGCGCAGCGTAGAAGTCCCCCACCGCGGGCGGTGGAGCTGGACCTAGGCTGAGGGCAGCTCGTAGGAGTAAGCCCGTGCATGGCAGGTCATGGTCAGCATGAAAACATGTGTCACATGCATAAGCATTGGTCCCTCTGGGACTCTCATGATCGCAGGGTTCTCTGTGCATGAAACCAACGGCATCTTTGACTTGAGAAATCGACGTAATAATTGAACCATCTCTGCGCCCCGTCTCTCTGTCCCGGCACGCACTTCAGGAAGATGTATTTTCCAGATCCTACATAGTCAGCGGGCAGTCCAGCAATCACCGGGTCTTCCTGTGGCACTTCTAAATACGCATCCTTAACGTCGATAGATGCTATTCCCCAGGTAGTATCCATCCTAGTGGTTCGCCACAACAAGAAGAGCAACGGTATGAGCTTCACCACGTTGGTCGTGGTTGACGGTGAAAAGAGGCCTTGCTTGTCCTCCAGCCATCTGTATTCCCTTGCTACGAGACGGCTTCGTCGTAGAAACTGCGACTTGCCTGCGCGGCGTTTGCGACGCCACGATCTCACCATTTTGGTAGATAAGCTCTTCATTGATCGAACATTGTCATGCTCGGTCGCGGCACGCAAAACGCCTTTGCTCACTAGCCGCTTCACTTCTACTTCATCCGCTATCCTGTCAAGTGCATACAACTCATCATGACTGAGGTTCGGTTCATGGCCCTCGTCATCAAACCACAAAAGCTCCTCGGACTGCCCCGCCTCGTTCATGGATGCCGAACCGGGTTCTTGTCCTTCATCATCTGACCACTCTGGTTCATTGATAGCGTAGGTCTCGGGATCCTCCCATTCAGAGAAATCGCCGTCATAGCCTTCATCGTTCAAGTCACAGCTGCGATCACCGAAAGTAACAGTACGAATTCGTGGTGCTTTGGAAACTCTCTCCTCAACAGCAGTATCAGCACTGCCTGAAATAGCAACATCAGTTGACATTGCCAAAGGTTCAAGAACTGACTCAGGTGTCTGAGGTCCCAAAGGAATGCTCAGAGCCGGATTTGGCACTCCTGGCGCCTGTTCAAACATAGGTACATCAGGTACTCGTGGACTGGCCGGTGGCGGTCTTGACAGATGCAACTTGGTTCTCTTCGGAGTCGGAGTCACAGGACCTTCAGATGGTCCATCATGTCCCACCGGAGTCGGTGGCATCATCCCAGCAGGTGTGCTGGCACTTGGACCTTCAACCAAACCTTGGCCTACACTAGCAGGAGGGCCACTAAACCCTAGAGGGACAGGTGTCGGCGGGTCAGAGGCGGCTTCATCTCCTGCACCAAACGGAATGCTAGGCGCTGGAACAGCAACAGGCTTTCGCTGCTTAGCCGGCGGCACAAGACGTGTCTCATAGACACCGGAGCTGTAATCCCACGGCATTCCTGCCATGTTCTCGAACAAATCGCGCTCCTCGGCCCAATCACGGCCTGTGCGGCGCACACTTCTGCTCACGCAGACTTCTGATCGGCTTGCAACAAGAACTGATCGTTTGACCGATCGGCCTCCATGAAGGTTCAGATGAGATTGTGAACAAAGAAGGACCCGCAGGCCGAAAACAACAAGGACCTCCTTTGCTGCTTGATTTGCCATGATCAGTCGTTGAGTTCAACTTGGAGTTCAACTCAAAGTTCGAACCCAGGGTTCGGAGGGAACTTCGATGTTTGAACCCTGGGTTCGAGGCTCCGAACTCTTAGTTCGGAGTTCCAGAACCCTGGGTTCGGAACTCTAAGTTCCAAACCTTGGGTTCGAACACCCCCCCAAAAACCTATGTTGGGCTTGCACTCGAGGACATCGAGGAGCCACTTGCAGGTGGCGAAGCGGAGTTGATTGTGTTCATGCATCCGCGACTTGAGGAACTGAGTGCCGTGGGCATTGAGTGCAGCGGCGACCTCATGGGTCGTAACCGCATGGAGGTCGAGGTTGAAGCTGCCGCACCGCTTGACTCCGAACTTCTTGAACTGGAGTTGAACCTGGAGTTGAACTCTGAAACGCGAAGAGTTGAACCCAGGGTTTGAACATGGAGTTTCCGAACCCAGAGTTCGAACTCTGGCGGTCCTAAAGAGTTGAGACCCAGGTTTCGAACATTGAGTTTCCGAACCCAGAGTTCGAACATGGAGTTTCCGAACCCAGAGTTCGAACTCTTGTCTCATTGCTTCTTGTTCTCTAATTTTATTTTTTTCGCAAAAACCCCATTAGCGATTACGTGTGTCTTCTTCTCTTTTGCTTGTGCTTGCGGTTGAGTTTGTGGTTTCTGTCATTGTTGTGTGCTCTCAGAAATTTTATTTGCAAAACCCCCACAAAGCGATTCTGTGTGGCTTCTTCTGGAGTTCGAACCCCGTTCGAACTCTGGGGAGGAGTCTAGAACCCGGGGTTGGGCGGTTCATTTGTTCGCGCCTTTAGCATTCTCGTAGGAGACTTCATGTCCTTCTGAAGCCCCCTTGAGAAGAAAGACTCTTCGTCATTGACAATCTTTTTCTTTGTTTTGTCTTTCTTTGATTTCTTCGCAAAAACCCCCCACAAGGCGGTTTCGTGTGGCTTCTTCTTCTTTTGTGGCAGGGACTGGTCATTGGTAGTCTTTTTCTTTGTTTTCGGCAAGCTTCTAAAAACAGCGAGGGGGTTGGGGGGGGGCGCAGCCCCCCAAACGTGGAGTTCCCGAACCCAGGGTTCGAACCCCCCGGGGGGAACGAATTCCAGAACCCGAGGTTCCAACACAGAGTTCCCCAAACCCCGGGTTCCAACATAGAGTTTCCGAACCCAGGGTTCGAACTCCCTGGGGGACGGGGGGGGGGGTTCCGGAATAGAGTTCCCCAAACCCCAGGTTCGAACATAGAGTTCCGAACCCAGGGTTTGGACTCTCTGGTAAGGGGGGAGGAGTTCCCGAACCCGGGGTTCGAACGTGCAGTTCTCCAAACCCCGGGCTCGAACATAGAGTTCCCGAACCCAGGGTTCGAACATAGAGTTCCGGAACCCGGGTTCGAACATAAAGTTCCCGAACCCAGGGTTTGAACATAGAGTTCAAACTCCAGGTTCAACCTGGGTTCGAGAAGTTCGAACCCAGGGTTCAACCCTGATTATATGTTCTTCCCCCCCCCCGGGCCCCCGGGAGTTCGAACTCTGGGTTCCGGAACACTCCAAAAACGGCACAGCCTCGGACCTGCGCACGATCGTGGACCTGCATGGCCAGTCGCATTGCACCATAAGCGTGGGGTCAATCATACACGAAGACCTCGCACGCCACACAAGATGGCCTGCGCTGGCAATCTGCCAACCAATCTGCAAACTTTCAACTTGTTCAGACAAGGTTGCACGCAGGATCGCACGAACATGCTGGGGGTCCTGCTCTGGCTCGGTGCTCGCGCCAGTCACTTCTTGCTGTGTCACACGACGGATGCTCGCTTCAACACTCAAGCTCATGCCTTTGAAACCACAATTGGTATACCTGCGCCACTGCCGTCATGATTCAACCAAAAGCCTTGCGGGCCTCTGCACGGAAACCAGCCTCGTTTGATCAAACGGCCTAAGCTAAGCAGAGGCTGAGTAACATCAGCAATGACGCAACGTTCTCTGATCGCCACTAAGCCGTGGCTGGCGCTCTCGACGATAAAGTCGACAAGTCCTCTGTGATCGGCATTTGGCCTCCTTGAGCGTCTTGTATATACAAGTTCCTTGCAGGGACATACTGTCCGGCTGACGCAAAGCACCGAGGCAGGCACGAAACATCAGCTCCAGAGTCAATTATCACGGTCTGACGGGTCATGGGAAGCGCTCTGCACTGAGCGCAGCCTACGCTCCCTCTCCAGTCCGCAGGGCTATTGCATGCGCATCGTCTTCGCGCAGCTGCCACCACCTTCGGTTGGGAGTTCAGTGCCGTTGTCGTGTTCTGGTTGCGCGGCCCTCGAAAAATCGGTTTCTATTTCCGAGTACGCCTGTGGCGCTATGCCCTTTTTCGATGCATGGGACTTGAGAGTCCAAGTTCTACGGTTCGCACCCTCCTTTCGACAATTGCGGATTCTGCTGGCTCCTTCTGCTTTGCAGGAAGCTAGGTCAGGAAACGCACCCTGGGACAGTTCAACAACAACTCACACTTGCTGTCGCTGCCCGGAGGCAGAAGCTTTGTCAAAGAAAGCACACGTCCAGGCTCTGGCAACGGGTACTCGATGCCCAAATGCTGGAGGTCTGCGCTGAGAGGCGCTGAGCCGGAGATGCCTACCGAACGAAATGACTTCTGCCAGCTTCGTTCTGATAGCATCGTCACTGTCACTTCTTGCAAGAGCTGTAGCCACTGCGCCACTGAGACGCAGCCGCTGCCGCGCATGGCTTCTGCGTACCGTCGTCGCATTCGTTGCTTTAGCGGGCCGAAAACACAGGTGTCCAGCGGCTGCAGAAGAGATGTAATGTGCGTTGGCACAAAAAGAAGCCAAAAATGCAACCTTTTACATGCTGTCAAAACTTCTTCTGTCAAGTGAACGCGGCAGCAATCCCATACGATGACAATCTGCTTGCTGTCCGACAGGCGCAGTGGTCCCAGCGCCTTGGCCAACTCCTCCAGAGCCTGAACCATGACCGGGCCATTAACCCACGAAGACTTCCGCCGCCAATACTGTACAGTTGTGGCTGCTGACGCTGTTTGGGCACTCAATAGCAACCGTCGCGGAAAGCACCGCTCGTTGCCAATGAGGATTTGAGGGAGGCACTTCTGCAGCGTGCCTTCGCTTGATATCATGGCCAGCAGTGTCGCCGTGTTGCGGGGCGGCTTCCGAGGCCCACAGGGTACTTTTCCAGCAGGCCAATCAGAACGCCGGATGCAAACCCCTCGCTTGGCTTTGCAAAACTGAGGCATCGAGGACTCATCAATGTTGATGAAGATGGGTTCGCGTCCATAAGATGCCGCCGTCTGCCTGAGGTGCAAGCACCATTCCCAGAAGCCGCTCACCTGAAGGTCAGCGGACAAGACGCGACAATTTCTCGGGCCCCGAAACAGGGGTCAAAACCTGAACGGAACTTGGGCCCGAAAACTGGCCACGAGTGGGGCCCTTTCCACATGCGGCAGTCGACACCGCACTCAAAATGCCACCGAAAAGGGGCCAGAAAATGACCCCGAAAAAAGGGTCAGAAAATGACCCCAAAAGCGGGCTCGGAGGCCGGCGGCCACCGTCATGTGTCTGGAGTTGGCTACAGGTGACGGGAGCAGAGTAAGCATGCGGACATGCACTTCATGAACGACGCTACACTAGTCAAAACAAGCCATGCACGAAACAAACCAGCAGCAGACAAACAAGCAAACAACGAACTGTGTTCTCACACAACACATTGCCGGACAAGCAGCTGCAGCCTTTCAAGCCTGGCCTTGGCACGAAGATCCGTTTCGGAGTCGCGATGTGGCCCAAGACTTCGGAGGCGAAGCCCCCAGCGACCACGAAACCGAGAGCACCAACGTCGCTGCCAGCGCGAAGCATGTTCCAAGCCTTGGTGGGTCGCCAGCTCCTCGCGTCCTCGCAAGGTCTCGACAAACTGTGATGCGACTTCACTCGAGCTTGGGGCGTAGCCATTCGTGAAATTGCACGTTTTGATGAAATTGACAGTTGCGCACTCTGCCAAAAACTTTTCCACACGTGAGCGCAGCTGCTTCTGCGCGCGGGTTTCTGGATACTCGAATGCCACAATGGTGGCCTCAGGCGTTTCCAGAAACCAGTTTTCCAGCACTTCGCCAAGTTCCGTGTCTGTGGACGGCAGCCACGATGTCGGGGCACGTTGCTTAACAAAAGTAATCGCCAAAGGCAGGTTGTAATTGCTCTGAGTGTAACATCCCACGGCCACCAGACGATCTGTTCTTGTCAAGCCCAAGCGCGCTTGCACACAGCGGGCACGCCGCTGCTGCTCTTGTAAGCGCCGGATTTCACGACGCACACAGGCCAACGCATCCATGATTCAGGGCAGCGGCCACTGGCAGCAACATCTCTCTCACTTCGCGAGGAAACTTTGACTGCCAAACTTGCTCCGGTCGTACATTTGTGTGAAAACACAACTAACAGCATGAGAGGCACACAAGTAAGAGCAGCAACAGTTTGTGTGAAAGCCAACAGCATGAGAGGCACACAAGTAAGGACAGCAACGTTCGCACCCTCCTTTCGACAATTGCGGATTCTGCTGGCTCCTTCTGCTTTGCAGGAAGCTAGGTCAGGAAACGCACCCTGGGACAGTTCAACAACAACTCACACTTGCTGTCGCTGCCCGGAGGCAGAAGCTTTGTCAAAGAAAGCACACGTCCAGGCTCTGGCAACGGGTACTCGATGCCCAAATGCTGGAGGTCTGCGCTGAGAGGCGCTGAGCCGGAGATGCCTACCGAACGAAATGACTTCTGCCAGCTTCGTTCTGATAGCATCGTCACTGTCACTTCTTGCAAGAGCTGTAGCCACTGCGCCACTGAGACGCAGCCGCTGCCGCGCATGGCTTCTGCGTACCGTCGTCGCATTCGTTGCTTTAGCGGGCCGAAAACACAGGTGTCCAGCGGCTGCAGAAGAGATGTAATGTGCGTTGGCACAAAAAGAAGCCAAAAATGCAACCTTTTACATGCTGTCAAAACTTCTTCTGTCAAGTGAACGCGGCAGCAATCCCATACGATGACAATCTGCTTGCTGTCCGACAGGCGCAGTGGTCCCAGCGCCTTGGCCAACTCCTCCAGAGCCTGAACCATGACCGGGCCATTAACCCACGAAGACTTCCGCCGCCAATACTGTACAGTTGTGGCTGCTGACGCTGTTTGGGCACTCAATAGCAACCGTCGCGGAAAGCACCGCTCGTTGCCAATGAGGATTTGAGGGAGGCACTTCTGCAGCGTGCCTTCGCTTGATATCATGGCCAGCAGTGTCGCCGTGTTGCGGGGCGGCTTCCGAGGCCCACAGGGTACTTTTCCAGCAGGCCAATCAGAACGCCGGATGCAAACCCCTCGCTTTGCTTTGCAAAACTGAGGCATCGAGGACTCATCAATGTTGATGAAGATGGGTTCGCGTCCATAAGATGCCGCCGTCTGCCTGAGGTGCAAGCACCATTCCCAGAAGCCGCTCACCTGAAGGTCAGCGGACAAGACGCGACAATTTCTCGGGCCCCGAAACAGGGGTCAAAACCTGAACGGAACTTGGGCCCGAAAACTGGCCACGAGTGGGGCCCTTTCCACACGCGGCAGTCGACACCGCACTCAAAATGCCACCGAAAAGGGGCCAGAAAATGACCCCGAAAAAAGGGTCAGAAAATGACCCCAAAAGCGGGCTCGGAGGCCGGCGGCCACCGTCATGTGTCTGGAGTTGGCTACAGGTGACGGGAGCAGAGTAAGCATGCGGACATGCACTTCATGAACGATGCTACACTAGTCAAAACAAGCCACGCACGAAACAAACCAGCAGCAGACAAACAAGCAAACAACGAACTGTGTTCTCACACAACACATTGCCGGACAAGCAGCTGCAGCCTTTCAAGCCTGGCCTTGGCACGAAGATCCGTTTCGGAGTCGCGATGTGGCCCAAGACTTCGGAGGCGAAGCCCCCAGCGACCACGAAACCGAGAGCACCAACGTCGCTGCCAGCGCGAAGCATGTTCCAAGCCTTGGTGGGTCGCCAGCTCCTCGCGTCCTCGCAAGGTCTCGACAAACTGTGATGCGACTTCACTCGAGCTTGGGGCGTAGCCATTCGTGAAATTGCACGTTTTGATGAAATTGGCAGTTGCGCACTCTGCCAAAAACTTTTCCACACGTGAGCGCAGCTGCTTCTGCGCGCGGGTTTCTGGATACTCGAATGCCACAATGGTGGCCTCAGGCGTTTCCAGAAACCAGTTTTCCAGCACTTCGCCAAGTTCCGTGTCTGTGGACGGCAGCCACGATGTCGGGGCACGTTGCTTACCAAAAGTAATCGCCAAAGGCAGGTTGTAATTGCTCTGAGTGTAACATCCCACGGCCACCAGACGATCTGTTCTTGTCAAGCCCAAGCGCGCTTGCACACAGCGGGCACGCCGCTGCTGCTCTTGTAAGCGCCGGATTTCACGACGCACACAGGCCAACGCATCCATGATTCAGGGCAGCGGCCACTGGCAGCAACATCTCTCTCACTTCGCGAGGAAACTTTGACTGCCAAACTTGCTCCGGTCGTACATTTGTGTGAAAACACAACTAACAGCATGAGAGGCACACAAGTAAGAGCAGCAACAGTTTGTGTGAAAGCCAACAGCATGAGAGGCACACAAGTAAGGACAGCAACGCTGGAGGGCCAGCCTGCAACACCCATTCCAGGAAGCGTTTACGGCCCTTGTTTTGGGCCCTCATATCACCATCCTGCTCGTTTCACGAGGTCCGTTCTGTACACACTCGTGGGCAACGCGAGACGGTGAGACAGTCGAGATTGGTTTCACTGCTTGTGTTCACATCCACAATGTCATGTTGAGCATGCCCACTCGCGAAAGCTCTGTCACCCTTTTCATACACAATCCGCTGTCGATCAGTGCTCAAAGGATTGGCCATAGCTTTCACAGCCTACAGAATCTTTACAGATGAATGACGTGTGCTCGGATCGAGCTTCGATGCACAAGGGCTCAAGGATAACAGTGCTGGAATGCTGTTCGTATGATCTTTTGAAAATCTTTTGTGACTCTGAAGAACGCCTGCGGGTAATCAACATGTCTTTCGCATGCTCAAGTGAAAATGAGTGCATCACCGATAAAACAAATACATCACAATACGGTATGCTACATGGAGAAATCATAAACACCCCGCCTACAGACTCTCATGGCCTTGGCATGGGTTTCTGTACTATGATTCTCCGTTGCTCAAACAAATACACTAGTTCACGACTGCACTCATAAGAAAGTTTGCGCGTTCTCGAGCTCTGCCTCTAAGGGTCGTTGGCTCAGCTGCTACTACTGCGTAGGACTGTACAACTACGACTAGTTACACCACTTCAGAAGGCTAGGAGCAGCCGACGAAGTGATAAGCTTGACTCACCCAAGCGAAGGCGCTTCCAAGGTTCAAGTTTTGCACTCGGCATACAAGTAACTCAAGGAACATTCAAGTGGGTTTCATGCAGCTCGCAGCTGCCCCCATCAAGACGTTGGTATTCCTATGGAATCCGCACACAAGGATTGCGATGCCTATATGCATCAGGTGGCACGATGCCTACCTATGGAGACTCCCAGCTGCTCCACAGCTGGCTCAGTGGTTGGTAAGTCAATGCGGTATTGCCACCAAAATGGTGGAGACAAGTTCTGCTCAACAAGTCTATGTACAGTCATTTCGCGGCCTTTGTACAAGATCCAACCGATCGGCTCAGTGCCAAAGCAATGAACCCATGGATTGGCGCATCATGAGCATTACTTCAAGTACTGCCGTAACAACATTTGCACTTCTTGAATCCTCGATTGATGGCTTCTTGCCTGCTGATCCTTTCAAGTGCCTTTGCGTTTCCAAGCGTTCCACATGTCCGCCTGTGATGATATGACTTGCCTCTGGATTTGGTAACCCATACAAGTTGCTCGGCCCTCCACTCATCGATGACGTGCCTCGGAACCGGGAAAGACATTGCTTTCGGCATCGCACCGGCACTCGAAGAGCTTGCACTGGGGTCTGGAGCATCATGATCATCGGCACGCGCTGCTGCGCTGCTGGACGCACTGGTGGCACTTTCTGCAGTGGGCTTGCTAAGCTTAGGGTTTTCGGCAGGTTCGGGACTAGCTAGCGAAACCGTAGAACCCTCAACCTTCACATGCACGGCAACACTTGGCGTGGGTGTGTTGCTGCTTGCCGCACTGCTTTCCTCACTGTCAGCTTGCTGCCTCAACACTGCAACGCGATTGCGACTCAGCAGTGTACAGCACAACATGATCAAGATCAGCAGTTGTATGATCAGCATAATCCCAGTTGGATACTCAAGTGCAAAATCGCGCACAAGGTAACACATGTACACAAACCATTCAAGACTCTGTGCAAACACTCCAAGATTGTCGTCGTCCTGGCTCAAGGCGTCCTCGGCATTTTGCGTATTGGGCTCATCGTTTGCACTTGCGACGCGATCAACTTGGAGAAGCATGGCTAGAACTTGGATGATTTGCTGGGTGCTAAGCGCTCCTTGTTTAACAACTCTGGACACATGCAGTTTGTCCCTCGCTGAGAGGAGATAGGACTCCCCGATAACACCATAGTTGCTGTCTGCACATCTGATTCCAATCATGCCTAGCAGCTTTTCAATCCGCTCTGCCTTCAGCGGCTTTGTGCCGAGGTCTGACACATTTTCAGCTGTAGGGATCGGCCCTACGGACAGCACATTGTCCTTAGTCATCTGCTGAAGCCAAAGAAGTTTACCACTGATGTGGCGCATTTTCCCAACTCCTTGTCGGCACGCCAGGGCTCGACATGCCGAGTTGTCTACAAGGCAAATCTGTTCAAGCGTGTAATCAGGAAGGAGGAATCGGATGCATGCTGACAAGAAAATACCTTCTGCCGCAGCGGACACAAGGGAATTGTATTCCGATTCTGCACTGCTCAGGCTGATGGTCTTCTGGGTTTTGCTATGCGCATATAGCAGCATGTTGTCCCAGAGAATCGCACAAGAGCTCACGGACTTCCTTGTTCTTTTGCAACCGCTCCAGTCGGAGTCTGAACAAACTTCAAGCACGGTCGTATTCTCCTCGCGGGACCTGTCGCACACGAGGCCCTTGCCGGACACAGGCTTCGAGAGCCCGATCACATGGTTGCGATGGCAATTGATGTACGATGCAACATGCCGCAACAACTTCCATGATCCTTCAGTAGGCGAGTGAGAATAGGTAGTCAGGTATCTAATCGCAAATTGACACGCCACAAGGTCTGAGGACATATAAGCGAGGATACCGACACCTGAACGATACCGGCTGGCAGTGGCTGCATCTAACTCACGATCAGATGCGAGCTCAGTGGGCAGACCTCCAGTCGGAAACGGAGCTGCTTTGTACCTTTCTTTTGCATTTGCTAACCCGGTGACTTGCATGAGGCGATCAAGGTATTTGATGTCAGGCTCTATCACTAGCAAAGTGGGGCTTACAAGGATGTGGCGCCTTTTCAAGAAAGATACTTGATCTCCTATGTGCTCAAGCCACTCGCTAGACACCTTAAACTTTGACTTCAAGTGACTTTCAAGAACCTGCAACCGTTCAGTCTGGCCGGCAGCCAGCATGTCGTCCACATGCACATAGCCTCCGCCTGCTCCACTGGGCAGTCTGAACAATGCGGGGCTTTCGGGAAGCAATTCAACTCCGACAGCGACTTTCATTTCATTTGTGAAATCATTGTACCATGTCACACTTCCGTCCCGTTGTCCGGGGAGCATCCGCCACAACTTGAACCACTTATCACGTATGCGGGTGACCGTCGGGTGCTGCTGGCTGCACTGGAGAAAAGCATCGCTCACATCGAGCGCTAGCATCGACCAGCCTTCCTCACGGCGTCTCAGAAAGAGCGCTGGAATCACACGCAGCATAATCTGGTTCGTTGTTGGGCAAAACAACCCAGGCCTATCGGGATCTAAGTGTGCATACTCCCGCGCCACGAGGCGCGAACGCCTCAGCCAAACTTTCGATCCTTTGTAGACCTTCGGCCTCCATGTGCGCACGCTTTTGGTCGTAAGCGTTCTATGGCCTTCAAGTCGATCAGGCACTTCACTTATGACCCCAATTCCAGACAGCCGCTGAAACTCAAATGCATCTGCTACAGCATCTATTTCATCAAGTTCTACAGGGCTGCAAATTGGTTCACTTTCAGAAAATGGCCTAATCAAACAAGATGGCACTTCAAGCTCGGCTTCACTTTCATACTCAACCGAGTCAGCTGCATCAGCACATTCAAGATATTCTTCGGCTACCTCACCTTCAAGGACAACCTCTTCATCTTGATGAAGCTTGCATCTGTCTGAACAGCATCTAGCCTCAGTCGCTTTCTGGCCGGTGGCTCGGCCTGCACAGGTGCCGGGCGAACTGTTCCGCCAGTGCTGGCGGATCCATCGCTGCTGCTTGCAGCAGCAGGTGGTATTGGCGCATCCCCGCCAGCGCTTGCACTCTCTTCAACCAGCATCGGCGCTGGAGACTCCGGAACAGGTGACAATGCAGGAAGCATATCGGCCGGTGTGGCAGGCTCAGTAGCTCGGCCAAGCGAAGGATTCACTCGCAAAGGGGTCGGAGGCTCTGGCGAAATCAGCAATGGAGGTGGCGGAAGAAATGCAGACAAAGCAGTATCTGGCACAAGAGGCTCGGGACGCAGCATGGGCCTCGGCCCATCATTGGCAACGACTTCTGGCAACTTGGCTTGGTCGTTGGCCTCCTCACTCTTGCCTGCAATCGACTTCTGGAGCCTAGACTGCCCTGACTGCCCCGCCAGGAACGAGGCTTGTGTCCAAGGCATGTCGTGAACGTACTCAAGAAAATTTGCGTCAAATTGCTTAGGCAACCGCCGCACACTCCGGCTGGAAATCAGAAAACCTCCTTGCGTGGCCCCAAAATGCAGATCTGAAATTCCAAGCTTTCCAAGCGAAATCATCTTGACCCAACGCGCTTTCCCTTTGATTGAAGACTTCACTCTGGCATACACAACTTCGCAGAAATTCACTAGCTTGCCAAGATATGGTCTGCCGGTGATGATCTCGAAGGGGCTGTGCGCTTCAGTCCGCGCATACCTGGTGTGCAACCATGCTGCATGCTTCCAAGCCCACGCGTGGACCGGGGACATCGTTGGAATTTTCTGGCCCATTTCATGCTCGACCTGAGACAAAAGTGTCCCGGTCAACTGTCTGAGCTGCTCGACTGCCTGCTCTGCTGGATTGCCTTCATGGCTGTCCTTCTCGACTTGCTCAAGGTGCGTAACAAGCTTAAGCTTATCCCTAAAATCCTTTACACCCTGTTGCAGCGCTCGGCAAGTGGGCTCGCCGTCAGATCGCAGGGTGACTTCGGAATGACCGCAAAAGCTGATGAACTTACAAAGCTCGGCAACTAGAAACCGAAAAGCTACCGAACCTCCCTTGGCAGGTGTAGGGATAGCAGTACAGGCACCAGTG